GTCCGGTCAAGCAGGTTAGGTGCTGTAATACTTTTCAGTGTTTGTTGTATCAGTTCCAGGGAACAGCAGTTAGAGTTTGTCATGGATCAGTTTTTCAGCTCTAGTTTAAGATTAAGTAGCTAAATCCAATCCTAAATTATAATCTTGACTCTATAATTTCCCCTCGAAGCCCACTCAGGCTCACGCCACAGCTGACTATGTTTCTATTCACAGCACATTATAGACTAGACTGCATTGTACTGGTGTGAACACTGAATACACAGTTCTTAGTAGAACTGCTTATGTTCTTTTGTATGTTTGATTTAGTTTCACAATGGAGGTGTTCATTCACTACCTCAGCACTTCTTGTGTTCTTTGTTGAATGCATACACACAGTTCTTTCTCAGGTCTTAGCCGTGCAGATTTGCACTGTATGTAGGATCAATGACTTAAAATCAGTAATATTTAACGGAGTTAAATGTTTATTGTAAGGTTAAACTGATCAGGCAAGTGTCAATGTAATAGTTGTTTAATTAAAATATATTATAAGTAGGTTAAAGCATTAAAAAGGTTTTAACATGTCCTAAATGTTGCTTTATGAAACCATGTACACGTGAATGGCTGCCAGCTTTTGTGAATGCAGTGAACCTCAGGCTGCTTGTGTGTGAGTGGGTAAAGAAGTACCAGCTACCTGCCTCCCTCTCAGAATAGCTGTGCATTGACAAAAGACTGCAGGGCTAGATGTGGGAGTATGCGCACCCATGACAGATTGCAGTTCCCTTTTCGTGCTGTAGTTTACAGCAGCTCTGCTCGTTTGTTGCTTTTAATGACAGTCTTAAGCACACAGCTGAGCGGCTCCCCGTCCTCCTTCATGGAGCCGTTCATGTTAAGCAAGCTGCAGCAGTGTGAGGTAGACGAGTCTAATTATAAGGTGTCCTGTGTCAGGGCCCTATGGCTCTCTCTCTCCTCTCTCCCTCACTCACGTTGTACATTACAGCCTTGTTGTTTTATGGTTTGTTTTCATTTTACAGTGAAAAATCATTAGCCATGCATTCATCCAAGGTGGCCAAAATTTAAAAATTCCCCCAACTGCCGAATGCTGCAAAATTGTATTGTCATGAGTATCCCACCACACATGCTGTTAATTATAATGTAACTATACACAAGTAGTTATATTCACTATTTGATTTGTTTGGTTTTGTTTGTACTTAAAGGTCCAGTGTGTAGCATTCGGGAGGATCTATTTGCAAAAATGGAACATAACATTCATAGGTATATTTTCGTTGGTGTATAATCACCTGGAGAAAAAAAAGAATGATAATAGAGCTGTTTTTATCTACAGAGGGAACGGGTCCTCTTCTACGAAGTCTGCCATGTTGAACTGCCATGTTTCTACAGTAGCCCAGAACGGACAAACCAAACACTGTCTTTAGGGCCTTTTGCAAGTTTTGCAGCCTCTTCCTACACTGCTAGAATCCACTAAATCCTATACACTGGTCCTTTTTAAGATCACAATGACTATTTTTAACTTTAATTTTTGAATTCTATGGCACTATGTAGGTGGTGTAGTATCCATAATGGTTTTGCACAACTAACAACCAACTTGATTATTTGCTGTTATTGACAGAAACAATACATTGGTGGAGTTAAAAGTTGCTGTATATGTAAACAGAGGAAGAGGGGGGTGGAGGTTTGTTTATGAAGTGTTTTGGTTTGTGAGCCAATCTTCACAAAAGCCGATGTCGCTCCTAAGGAACATTGTGTTCTAGCCTGGTGAGGGGCCCCCAGCCTGTGTGTGTGTGTGTGTGTGTGTGTGTGTGTGTGTGTGTGTGTGTGTGTGTGTGTGTGTGGGGTGTGGGTTGGTGTGTGTGGGTGTGTGTGTTCTAATTACACAAGGTATTGAGGCAGGTCTGACATGAAGGGGGCAGTACATGTTCTTGGATACTTTCAGGGGGGATTTTTGGAGCTCATTGAGTTTTCCTAGAAAACCAGCTGTATGGACCTCTCTGGCGTCCATCCACATTCCTTTACAGAAGTTTGCTTTCCAGACATTTAACTGGCTGGGACAGAAGCTCAGAGGGAAAAAAAACAGTTGCCGCTCACTGAACCACTGGCACACACACACCCAGTCATCTGGAATAAACATGTGATGATTAGTGTATTACATGGTTTATCAGGACATAAGCATGTGCAAACAGACTCACATGATCTTCAGTACACATGTGTGTCTCTTGCATAATTGTTTCTTGAGGACCATAATACATGTCCTGTTCCTTTCCATGCATAACAGAATTAGTATTGTTTTTGTGTGTGTATATGTGGCCATACACAGCATATCTGTGTAACAAATTGTACAGCTGCAAAAACAAACATCCTCCCTTCTTTACACACGATTCATCTTTACTGAAGATCAACAAGCAATCCTGACCTTTTGTCCTCAGCACATAATTAGTGTTTTCCTGCTGCTGTCACTGACACAGTCATCTGTCACTGTGTGCTGCTGTTATGTCAAAGCACAGACTTTACTCCCAAATGACACCACTTTGGATTACGCTTGTCGCTTGCGTGACAAAAGCACACCAGCTCTCCACAAAAGCTTAACAACCCCCCCCCCAGTACAGACTCTCTCTCTCTCTCACTCTCTCTCCCCCTCTCCTCTCTCTCTCTCTCTCTCTCACACACACACACACACACTCACACTCACACACTCCTCCCCACATCCACCCTCTCCAGTTCACTTTCCAGTTCGACCATATCCCATCCCCCATATTGTTACATAACCACTCCTGGAGTTGGAGTGTGACGCAATAACTGAAGGACTAACCAGACACGGTGTTGATTTGGCTCACATTGACTCTTGGCAGCCTGGAGTATTTTTGTGTTTGTGCCACCTACTTTTCAGTCCCTGTGTATTGTGTTGTCAGTTTTCATATCTGAGGATAATAAAATCCTTTCATCCTTCTATGCAGTCTGCAGATTTGGTTGCTTGCGAAACAGCTTCTAAACGTTACATGAGTGTGACAAGGTTATGATGACAGAGGGGCTATTTATATCATAGTTGTTTGGGAATATTTTGTGCTGGAATGGAACCTTTGGGAGCCCAGCCCCTCATCTGGCAGCTAGCCATCACCATGACCACAAGTCCATCAATTTTTATTTCAGATGCAGTAAATGTGTGTGAGCAGTACCTTCTATAAAACATTTGTTCTTGTAAACAGTTTGGGCGGTTGTCACTTTCATAACTGTGAGCTGCTGCTTCCCCTTAGTCCTCACAAACAAAGGCTAGCCTATGTGTGGCTGTCGGCACCTGCCTCTTGAAATTCATCTCACTTCTTAGCAATTAGGCAACAAACCAAACTGAGGCAAATGCAGCAGCCAGAGACAACCTGGGAAAGTGTAAAAACACACACTGAACAAAATAAATGTTTCTCCAGGCAGCAGCTTTTCTTAGAAGTACTCTCGCTCTGCTGTTTGTTGATAGTTATCAGTTTTCTCTGTGACGTTGGATAGTGGACACTCGAGGTTGTCATTGTGTAAGAATGTTCAGTCATTGCCTGTGTGTGTGTGTGTGTGTGTGTGTGTGTGTGTGTGTGTGTGTGTGTGTGTGTGTGTGTGTGTGTGTGTGTGTGTGTGTGTGTGTGTGTGTGTGTGTGGTGTGTGTGTGTGTGTGTGTGTGTATAGACAGTGACGTACCCGTTACCCTCAGCACCCCGACACTTTACTCCCATCCCCCCTCTTCTCCAGATTGCGCTGCAGAATACATCCTCATTATGTAATCCCCCCCCTAGCCCCCCCAACACACACACACACATATTCTCACACACATACAGTCAGAATGAATACTGGTGTCCCATCCCCCACCACCACCTGCCCCAGTTGGAGAAAACACTGTGCAGGATTGGAGACTGAGCTTCTTACCAACCAAACAAACAAGCCCATTAGCCCGGGGTCACACGTCAGTTGACTTACATGTGGCACAGTACTGTAGCTAGTGGTCAGACCACGGTCACCTAGTATTTGTTTATATGTGGAATGGTGAACTGAATTACTTTTTTTTTGTTGTTGTTGTTGTCTTCTGCTAGCTAGAAATGCTAGTGGGTGCAGAAGTTGATGTCAATCTGATTCATTCCATGTACAAGCAGATTGCTCGTAAATAAATATGTACTATGTCTCCTGCCGGTAGTGTATATATGGTAGGCCCAAGCAAAAAACTCATTTGGATGCAGTTCAATCACTCTTAACTTGTACTGCCCTACATTCCCCACATCTTTATTTAAATAAACTGTTGATAATGCCACAGTAATATAGTAATGTTACATTTTGCTACATTTTTATAGGCACTGTTGGATAAAAATTCCATATATTGCTTAACTGGTTCCCAAACTAGAGCTGCAGGCTTCTTTGTTTAAACAAGTACATTAGGGCTGCAACAATTATTTACATTGCTGATTTATCTGTTGATTATTTTTTTGATTTTCATGTTCAATATGCTATGAATTATATGATTATACAATATTCAGTAAAGGAAAAAAGTACATTGCGATAGTATGTAACGTGATATTATAACACAATATATCACATTGCTTACAGTATGGCAAAATATGGCAATATATCGAATCATACCCTTGTATTGTGCGAATTCTCTTATTTGGCAAGCAGGGAAAATTTGGCATTTTTGCCTGAAAAATTACTAAACATTTCAGTCATTTACAGTCCTTTCCACTTCTCTGGAAAATGTCAGGTCTACACAATGGTTTATGTTGACTGGGGGTCATCTTTCTGTGACTTGTGGCCGTGCACGATATATAACTTGAATTACTGCCTGTCATAAGCATCAAACAGGATTTTCACGACACAAAAATACATGTTCAGAGATAGCATGGCTGTCAAAAATAGCAAGTGCTGGTGTAATGTACTTTGAAATGTTTCCAGTGGCTGTTTCTTACGGCTGTGTGGTGGAGCTGACAGCTGCTTCAGGATAAATGGCTTCTGTAACTGATTCTGTGTCTCTTCTCTTCTAGGAAACACCAAACTCTGTTTTCCTGGTCATGGAGGTAAGTACAGAAACGTGACTGTCTGGATATTTCATGAGTCAGAACTCTTATCTCCTCCCCACGTGTTGGGAAAAGTTGGTATTTAATATAATTGGTTACTTTGTTACTTACTCTAGTCACTTTTCTTTATTATTTATTAACATGTATTTACTTATTAACATAAGTAATGAGATGGATTATTATCAATGCAGCCTTTACCACAAAAACGTACTTTGAGCATTCATTACAGAGTAATGCTTTACCCCCAGCACTGGCTGTCAGCAGGTCTTCTTCCCCCTTTGGCAGGCTTCCCTGCTGTCGCTCCTCCCCCGTCAATTTTCTCTGTTGTTTTTTCCTCACTTGTTTTCTTTCACATCATGTCTCAGTTTCCTCTCTTAACTTGCTGACAACCTCCCCCTCCCAACTTTCTCCAGTCATTTCGCAACACGCTCAGCTGGCCGCAGGGTTGAAAATAAACCATGTATGCACCTCAAGTTACTAACTGAGAACACAGCCGTCTGTTTTCTAGGAATCACGTTCCCCCGAAAGCCTTTGCTTAAAATCTTGTTTTGGTCTATGTTTAGACAGTTATACAGTATAATCCTTTGGTGTTTTTTGTGTTTGGATCAACTGCTGTATGACTAAGTTACATTCATTTGAGGGTATCTACATTACAGTTTTTTTCATTGTGTTGTTTTCAGAGACACACAGGTAAAAGACAAGACCTGCCATTGGTTGTTTTTAGATAAATGGCTTTTCATATTTATATTTAAAATTTTCAGCTATGAAGCGGTTTAAGGAACATTGCGAGGATCGTGCCCTTGCTGCACTTTGAAGCACAAACCTCACTCTGTCTAAATCAATGCTGATGCCTCATGTTTTGCTTAGCAGGATGAAGCTTGTCTTACTCAAACATTGGTGGAAGTATCAGATGAAAGTGTTCTGAAGAGATGCACTGAGCCAGGTGTAATGCAAATGAAAGGAATACTTAACCGTTTGAACATTCAGTCTGGAGGGTAAAAAAAACATTTTCTTAGCAATGTTTGTAAGGAACATTTAGAGCAGCACTTTGCCAACATACAGTAGCAGGCATAGTGTGATTTGGATTGGTTAACTTGCATGTAAAGAGCAAGGCAACACCTGTCCATGGTTTGACACTGTATAAATTCTGTTCCCATTGAAGTGTGATGTTTTGCTAAGGCTTAATTGAATTCTTCATATGAAGGTGAGGTCAACCAGTGACTTAATACACAACAGCTGGATGCAAAAACCAGAATTAAATTCAGCTTTATCACAAGAGATTTTTCCACATATTGTTGTGCCAGGTCACACTTTAACAGGTTACAAACAATATAGACAGGTAGCAAATTAAAGGGAAACCCTGAAGTGTAGAACCATAAATAATGCAGATTCTTCAGTACACATAACATGGGATCACTGAATGGGTTAATGAGTTTGCACATGATGTAAATAAGCTGTGGTAGTCACCAGATTTCAGCCTGATTGAAGACCTATAGGTGATTTGGAGAGAAGGGCTCTCCACTACCATCAAAAAACACCAAATGAGGTCATATCTTTTGGAAGGATGCTGTTCATTCCTCCAGTAGAGTTCAGAGACTTGGAGAATCTATTCCAACTTCATGTGGCTTTTCCTTTAATAAGTTACCCATCTCTACATGAAGTTCACCTCAGAAGCTGAGACCAGGGTGACGCAAGCAATGTTACAGTGGAAGGCTCACAATAACTTTATTTACTGTTGCTTGTCTGTACTTATCCAATCAGCAGTTCACTTCCAGTTCACCTCATCCGTCTGTTCTTGTTGTCCCTCTTGAGAACTAACTGCACTCTAACAGAGATTGTCAGCACAGATAAAGCTACCGTCGTTCAGCAGATTAATTGATGAGCCCGCCATTATCTGGGCTAAGATTTGAACAAACACCCGTGCACATATACACAGACACACTCAAACACATAAGCACACATAATAACAAAAATGTGCTTCTCAGCTTGTTGAACCAGAATTTAATTGTTGCTGATAGTGGTTGTTTTTCTCCCCATGCACAGTACTGTAACGGAGGTGATCTTGCCGACTATCTGCAAGGTAAGCATCACACTAATCTGTCTGACACACACACACACACACACACACACACACACACACACACACACACACACACACACACACACACACACACACACGGATATTCATCAAAACAAAGTTACTAATTCTGCAGGGGAGGAAAAGCCATGTGACTGCAGCTATTATGAGTGTAGGTGTGGGAATGTGTGCACCAATTGTGCATTTATTATCTATGTGTGATGGATAGTTTGTTGAATAATGCAAGTCTGTATCATGTGGGGATGTTAAAGAGCTTGTGTGTGTCCCTATGAGTGAGTGTTTTTATGTCTTCATGTTTTCCATGTGTTTGTGTGCGTGGGAACAACTGCAGCTTTGTACAAAGGGTTCCTTCTCTAGTTCAGAGTCAGTCAGCACAGTGCTTATGCCATTGTGACCGTTTAAAACAGAGGTCAGCATTTCTGAAAGCAACAAGTAAGCTTAAGCTGAAATGATACATATTGGACAGTGAAAGGGATGTTCGGAAGTTCTGTTTTATACCAATCGGGAAAGAAAATGAAGAACATAAGAGTCCAAATGTATACATACTAGTGTATCCCTCACCAAAAATACAGTCCTCCTCCTGGCTTCTCAGTGACATTTGGAATGTGTTGATTTAATCCTAGTCTGAGTAAAAGTCTAGTAGGCAACCAATAAAAGACAAACGCACATTGCTAGCATTGCTTTACTGTTTCCACCACTTGTTTTGCATTACCACTGGGGTGTATCTATCTTTATGTTGTCAGTGACATCATGGGCGTGGGATGTGTCAGTCTGACAGCTGGGGTCTGAAGTTGAGAAAACGTGGGAGAACCAGAATGTCAAGTTCCATGTTTACATTTGTGCAGACTATGTTATTAAATCCACACCCCTAGTAAACCTGGGAGTTAAAGACATTCCCAACTGAGTCAACAACATAGGATCTAATAAGAATAGTTTCTCTTTCTCAAACACTTGTAAGCAGTCTATAAAAGTCATTATATAGAACACTGATACAACACAAAACATACTGGTGAAGGAAGTTGCTTCACTGCCATAATAACTTAAATACTTGCTGCTTACAGACTGTTTGTACTTGTGATTTGGCGATAAGATGCCATCTAGGCAACACATTACTGCCTGTTGTTATGGATAAATACCTGTTGCACTTAAATTATCGTCATAATCGAGCTTGAAGGTTCATTCTTGACCTTGGAAAACTCAATGTCCTAGATTTCTTCTAGAGGTTTTAGATGCAGCCCTTTTCTGCTACATCACATGTGGTGATTTGGATGGATGAATAATCGTTTTAGTCAGTGGATTTTTTTGTTAAATCTTTATCATTGATGCACAATAGCTGTTATACATACAGTAGCTAAACACACATCATCAAAATGTCCTTGTTTTTCATTGCACAACCTTCATTTGGTTGCTAAATAGAACAGTTTCCCTGAAAGCTTCATGGTATCTGGTATCCTTTTACAGCTTTTGTGTTTCAGAATAATGATCTCACCATATTTGAGTGTCAAAGGGAGTCAGAAATGAACTGAACAATCAAAATGTGTTACTATAGTTGTTGTGTATAGTTTAACAGAGTTTAAATCAGGTTGGCTCCAAAAGAGTGGCAGTTTGCCAATACATCTGTTAGATAACCACAGGTGTTTATACCTCTGTTCCATAAAAACACTGATTGTGCAGGAACAGTTCCCTTATCACTGTACTTTTGCATAATGTACCTGCCCCGCATGTCCACATTTGCAGTTTACAGAGTGGGTCATGGTCAGACCCATCAGTGACGGGTTGCCCAGCAGTCTCTGCTTGAGTAACACTGCCAGTTGTGAAATGAAACCTGTGGGGTCATAGTGCTTTAGTGTTGAGACTGTTACGGTGGGCTGTACTCAACTATTAGTCACTTTGTCCTTGAAGAGCTTCTCTGTTCACTTCAGGCTGTAAACACTGCGTAGGTAACATCTTATATTATATAAGAGGATTTCACTAGTTAATGATTCTACTACTTGCACAACTTTTCCATGTTAAAAGTTGATCCACTGTGGTGGGCAGAGAGCAGCTAACCCCCCCAAATCCTAGATTAATGTTGATAAGCTTACTGGTTTGATCTATGCCTACACTGTAATCACAATGGCTTGATAAAGAGAGAAAAATAGAATGAGAGGGAGAGAGGAATCCTCTTAGTCTCACATCGAATTAGACTTATTTCACTACCACCAGGGAAATGGACCTTCACTGCTTCAATTTACCCTATTTACCATGGGATTATTACTATAATATGCTAATTATTAGCTTTAATCAAGTGAGGCTGATAAGCACATTTTGTGGAGTTAATGCATGTTTTATTGTATTTAAATATTGACTCTGCATCATATCAGTGCAGACCAAGGAAACTATTCATTAATGTGCTTCATTAAGCAGCAGGAAGCACCTGCATAAGATCAATAGGCCAGCCTTGAGACAGCTATCCAGGAAACAATTGGCAAGAAGGAGCATCTTAGTGAGCAGATTGTCTATAAGGTGCTCTGCTGAGTTTCCTTGTAATCTAACAGAATTTATTTTTACATTCAGTGTTACTCATCAAAACACATGGTATGTATCCTTGAGGTACAACAAACATGTGCATTTCAAGTCCTTACGTTTGCAGGAACGAGACAAACAAAACAATAAATGCCTTGTTAGTGCTACTAGAGGTCAAAAACTCCACAGCATACCTTTTTAAGAAGGTAGGTGTCACATCCCTGGGAAGCCATTGTCCTGTTATTGCTGACAAACGGTACCATTTTGATACCAATCTTTGGTTTTTGTCATTTTTTCTTATTTAGCTAAGGGGACGCTCAGAGAAGACACTCTGAGGGTTTTCCTCCAGCAAATTGCAGCTGCCATGCGCATCCTCAACAGCAAAGGAATCATCCACCGTGACCTAAAACCCCAGAACATCCTGCTGTCATATGTGGGCCGCAAGAAGTCCAACATCAGTGGCATCCGCATCAAAATAGGTGACAGAAACAGTCCTTTTTTTGGTCTTTAAAACAGTGGATGGGGACTTCTTCTGCTACAGGTTTTCTTTTCAGCTAATGTAATGTCTGCACATGGTATATTTTTGGTCAGGATTATCATATACTATAGACTTCTACTTAATAGATTTAATATTTATATGCCTATGTGTCCAGTGTCTTGTAATGACACATACGTAGTTTATTTATGTCAGAGGGCTGAAATAAAAACAGTGTAGAGCGTACATCTATTGGATCCAAATTTATAGAGACATAATGATTAAGCAATTTAAAAATAATGCTGCGTTTCCTTGGTCCTACTTTTCAATTCAGAAGTGAAATAGTGTGAATTACTTTTGGTCAGGAACAGAACGAAAGGCGTAAGTGGACTGGGCATGGAAGAGATAATTTTCTTTACCATTTTCTGTGTACATAACCTTGACTATCAAACAAAGTGCTACTATGCTGTCCACACTCAAAACAACTTATTTCTGTGCTATTAGAGTATTGCAATTAATGCATTTTCTGATGTCATTCTCCATCACAGGCTTATCTCTGTTTTGAATCCAAGACTATTTTATGCATGTGTTGAGGTCCCAGTGTCTCCCAGGCAATCCTCCAGAGTCCATCAATAGTGGATTGTGTTACTAATAATAATAATAATGATGATAATAATAATAATAATACGTGTACTGACTGGTTTGCTTCATGCTTCTGTCCTGCAGCTGACTTTGGCTTCGCACGGTACCTCCAGAGCAACATGATGGCAGCCACACTATGTGGGTCACCCATGTACATGGTCAGTGTGATTTACTGTCTGTCTGTCTGTCTGTCTGTCTGTCTGTCTGTCTGTCTGTCTGTCTGTCTGTCTGTCTGTCTGTCTGTCTGGAACTGCAGAGCTGAGGTCAGGCATTTTAAAATGACCTGTCAGCTTTCTCAAATGTTTGTTGCAGAACTCTGCCTGCTCTGGATCTTTACTTGTAACCTTTCCTCCTTCAGGCCCCCGAGGTCATCATGTCCCAGAACTACGATGCCAAGGCCGACCTGTGGAGCATAGGGACAGTTATCTACCAGTGTCTGGTCGGCAAGCCGCCGTTCCAGGTAAATACTGTGCACAACAAACCGGGAGCAAATGTGTTTGTAAATGTGTGTATCTCTGCATCAATTTGTTTCTAATATTTTCAGGCCAATAGTCCCCAAGACCTGAGGATGTTCTATGAGAAGAACAAGAATCTACAACCTATGTAAGCCACAAACCCTCTGGCTTCTTTTGCTGTGTTTAATTTGGGCTGTCGCAGATGAAAGTTGAATTGTTTGAGAGGAATTTTGGTAAAATCTTTGAGGCCGGTGCATATGGGATGATGCTGGTTGATGACATTCCTCTGCTTGCATCTGTTTTAGTCGTGGAAGCAGCATGGGTCTGTGGGTGGCAATGTTGGTCATTTGGCCACCACCAGTAGGCCTGTCAAGATAACATTATATATTATATATAAAATTATCCTCTGTCATGATAATTACGTTATTGACTTATCATAGAACATGTGCGATATGTAATTATCGACTGTCACAATAATTACGTTAGCGACTTATCATAAAATATGGACATCTATATGGACATACGGACTCTAAGATAAGCATGTTAGCATGAGGTTAGCTTTTAGCCCTGCTGTGCAGCCTCACAGAGCCACTAGTATGGCCATAGACCCTTGTTTCTATTTACATCGTAATGCTATAGTTAACCAGGCATTCATCGCATCATCTGACACAGATTGCAACCAAGACTTTATTTGATCCATCTTGCGCAGTGTGATATGCAATTAACTTGAAAGATTGTTGCGCCCTATGAGAAACAAGGTATTAATGTTCCCATGCTCTCATTACCCAGCATCCCAAGGGAGACATCCCCACAACTTAGCGACCTTTTGCTTGGGTTGCTGCAGAGGAATCAGAAAGACAGGATGGACTTTGGTGAGTTGTGACATAATAACAATGTCTTTAAACATTAAATGGCAAATTTACTGTTCAAGTTTGAGGTCTTGATGTTTGTTAAAAACTTCTCTGATCTGTTCTGTTCCTCTAACCCCTTCTTCTGCAGATGCTTTTTTCAGCCATCCTTTCCTGGAGCCATCATCCACCATTAAAAAATGTAAGCACAAAGGTCACATTCCGAAACAGGATAGAGTACAGTACTACACTTTCACATCATCCAATTAAAAACATGATTAATCGTGCATTTATTGCCTTCAGCTTGTCCAGTGCCGGTCCCCAGCACCTCCAGTGCAGTGACGGACAGTTCCTGTGGCAGCTCCCCATGTATCCGCTACAACTCCCCTCCTGTGAGTTTGATATTACTTTATAAATCCTCATTCAGAGAGGATTACACTTACACTGCGACAAAGGTAATAAAATATTAACCATGCCTCCCTGGTGTGCTTGCTTGCTTCATCCAGCACAAACAGTGCCTGAAAAGTTCAACACGGTGTCCAAAAAAGGGAAAATAAACTGTCCCTTCATAAAGTGTATGTTTTCATTTTATAAGTCAGTTTACCAACACAAATTCTGCTGTTGTAAATTCTGCAATTTGAAGTGCTGCTTCTACTAAGACATCCAATGCTAGTTATAACAATCTCTCTGCACAGCGGTACATCTCATCTCACGGCAGCAGTGGGAATGCAGGGCAAGTCAATTTCCCAGGATGTCAGTGTTCTCTGTACCAACATGATTACATCAGTTTGACAGTCAGCACTGCCCTGCCTGGAAGCCTTAATTGCATCATTCAGGAGGCACACTAAAACTTAATCCTATTTTTTTGTCCTCTCTGTCTGCAACCGCACAGTCTCTGCCGGACATGCAGACACTAGCAGAGGATGGTCTGTCATCCCCTCCGCTCGGTCCGCCCAACTTCCTGCAGCTGTCCAAAGAGTCTGCGGGAAGCACCAGCAGTAAGAACTCGTCCTGTGACACTGACGACTTTGTCCTGGTGCCTCACATCTCTACCGACAGCTGTAAGTAGCAACACACACACTGTACATACACATAAAGCAACTGTATTTCACCTAAACTCATTCAAGTGTAACTCACCTGATTATTTGAAAGGGTGGGTATTTGGGCTAATATATCACCTGTCCTCACTTCTTCTTGAGAAGATATGTTTGTCACATCAGTCAATATTGATGTATACAGTATCACAATATGAATTAAGTGAATGGTTTTGTTCAATTTTAAGTCCCTTGAGCTTAAAATTCCCTAGTAGTAAATCCAATCCACTGAAAAATGACCAAGAATTGTATGAACTACAAACAATTTCTATGTAAATAAAAAGAATAATTTGTTTTCAGTTCCCCTCATAAAAGCATAAAAGCATACATCTGTTTGCTGACTTTAAAGGCACTACAAGGAGATTTTAACTGGTTATGAAACGGTCTCAATTTAATACTGGTGCCTCTATATGACCTACATAATTAAACAAGACCATCAGAAAGAAGATTGTCTGTTTCTATATCCTGCCATCTGGTGGGATTCCCATGAATCAGAAAAAAAACTCTTGTTTTTATTTCTTTAAACCAATCACAATCGTCTTGGGTGGCGCCAAACCCAAGAATGCAGCATCAGAACCCTTGCAAAAAAAGTATGGGGGGGGGACTTGTTTTGGTGGAACATTTGCATGGGGGAGGCAAGCCCTGGCATTAGAATGGATAAATCCTCTCAGAAGAAAAGAGAACCACTCCTAGCTTCATTATGTTTGTACCATGATCGGCCAGATTAGGGTCAGGCTAACTTACCATTTTCAACGTGTAGATTTCTAGCTCTAAACCAACAGTCCACTTCCTGAGTCCGACTACCAAAGCAAAAGCATGTGGTGTGTTTTTTGTTAACTCAACCAACTCTGCTGGTCCTATTTTGTATTTTATAAGTGGGCCGTCCATTCTTAATAGACTTCCATATGATTGGTTCGAAATAGTTTTGTGTCTTTAATTTGGTTGGTTGTTAGTACATTGGCACATAATGTAAGCCTTTGATAGTATGTTAAAGTTTCATTTTTTTTCCAATTACATTTTCTATCAGAATTGATACTGTTTATATTACCCAGCTCTAGAAATGGCTTTAGCACTGTACACTCTCAGTTCATAGTCAGACGGCTTATACAATAAATGTTGACTGTCTGGAAGCAGTTATGTAATCCAATAAACAAACCAAAATCAGTTACTTTGTTCAGAAGGGGCTTTTGGTTCTTTTCATTGAGAAGACACAGCTCCATAAAGCCATGTGCAGAAAGTTGCCTACTCTGAATGTATTGCATAATAGCAGAAACAGGAGGGGTTGTAGTCCCATTAATCCTCATTTTGTAATATATAGATAACCATGAGACAATGCATACATTTGTGACACAGAGTTCACAGACATCTTGAAATAGGCATACAATGGCTGCAATACACGTGTAGTGAATTCACATTCGCTACCTGCCAGTGATACCTACAGCACATAGCACATGTCACCAAACCCACAGGCAGTAAATTAGACAGCTGCTAACCATTTCATGCTGTAACTGTAGACATCAGTCCCCAAACAGTAGGCACACACACTTACCCCCTTGACTGGTAAAATGAACCCTTATGCTCTGCACCTGCTGCAACACAAACACACACACACATACACATACACACAATACATCCACCTGTTAGTCCTCAACTCAAACAATGAAGTGCAGAGCACTGGGAATGTCAACGGGCATTTTGAGTGGCATTTAATCACCTAATTACTGCTCCTTTATACATTGGTAAATCATGTTGCACCTTTATCATTCTTGTCTTTCTTTCTTTATTCCTCCTCAGATGACCAGCCAATGGGAGTTGGGCGCCGGCCCTCCAGCGAGTTCCTCATGTGTGGAGGGTGAGTACGATGTTATCGACCAGAGATATTAATCCAGAGATTAAAATAAAAAAGAATGAAAATGTGGTGTTATACTTTTCATATGATCATGTGAAATTAAAAGCCTCCACTGGACCTCAGGAAAGAGTTTTAACCCACCTAATAATTGTTTGTAGCAACACTACAGATGGGTTTGGAGATTAAAAAATACATTAGTTTTTGAAAACACCTGAGTCATCTCACATACTGTACTTGACAATCAGCATGACTCATTATGAACCTATGCTAAAAGCTATAAACAAAGACATTAAGTTCTAGGAACAAAAATGAAAACTCTACAGGAAATCTGGTTCAATCAGAAATAAATTATTGTATGCACAATAAATTAACAGACGTATAGGGAATTCTACAATCTGTGAAACATACTAATAAGATCTTGTTTGTTTAATCCGAACAAGTGCAAAAATGACTTTGTTTATTATGGCAGACTATTCCCCGTCTCAGAGCGGTGACTTCCTGAAGTCTTCTCCTCACCAAAAGTTGGTGTTGCCAGCTTTGATTGTTTATTTTGTTCTTATATAAAATTAAATTTTTTTCTTTGAATGCTGCAGATGCTGTATTAAATGTAACCCAGCATTGCTGTATCAGATACAGTTCATGGGGTATGAACTGGATGTCAGAGTAAAAAATAGACTGACTATTCAATTGAAGCATGACATGACGCTGTGAGTCAGATTCCATTTCACACACAGCCTTGAGTTCATGTGTTTGTGTCTAAGGTCATGTCTATTCTTCATGTGTTTTTGTGTCATTGAGGCTTCCTTTGTCTCACTATTTCTGTCTCTCTGACCACCCTCCTCTCAGCTTCACACCAGCTATCACACAAACTCACTGTCTGATTTGTCTTGAGTGAATTCGTCTGCCCACCTCCAGATCTGCACAATTAGTGACTTATGAATCAGAAGTTGAGCCAAACAACAAGGTGGTGATGTGCTAAATAAAGAACCTGACCCACCGAGGGCTGTGGGATAAGAATAGACTTGGCTGCAATAACTGACTGTGACTGTTATTACTGTGCCTCAGCTGTGTACTAAAAGATCAAAACACGCTCACATGTACTGCAGCTGCATTCTCTTAGCACTGCACCATTTACTGACCTCTTTATCTTCAGGTTTAACTCCTGTTAGTAGAATTTACCTCTACTATAATACTACTCACCATACACAGTTCAACCTCATGTCCAGCAGTTAGTTCAGAAACTTTAAATTGGCAGAACATGGCACGGCAGGCAAATGTCACTGTATTTAACCAGGCAAGGCCAATACCACTGTTATTGTTGTTGTTATTTGTTTGCCCTTTTGTGCCAGGGAAACAAAGAAATCTACAAATATAAGCATCTCTGTCTACTTGTAGCTCAGTCTATTTCTCTTCTCATCCAAGATTTGAGATGCAGAGTTGCAGAGGAAAACTGTGGTGATTATTTCTATTAATATCCACGTTGGAAATAACCAAAACAACATTCAACCAGTGAAAAATGTATGCAACACTACACTAATGCTTTAAACCCTGTTAATACTGTATTTTTAAATGCAACAATAGTCATCATACCTTCTGCACAATTCTAACTAGCTCTGTGTAATCCGTGTGGCCTGGACACCTTTGTTTCTAAATTGTAGATAATAAAAATAATGTATATAGGTCCTAATTTAACCCCTTCAGACCCGCCTTATGTTCCAAGGTTGTGAAAAATATAATAATGACTTTTTCCCATCCTTAATGCAACCAGAAATGAGAATCAATAAAAAAAATGTTTTTAATCAAAACCCTTTAATTGTTATTTTTCTTGTCCATTTCAATGGACATCGGGTCCAAACAATTCTTAAAATACCAACATCATATGACAACAACATACCTATTTTTTGTCTGTTAAATGTTGCAAAAAGTAAAAAAGAAGCCCCTGTCAAGTGACGTCCATTGTAATGGACACAGGGTCTGAAGGGGTTAAGTTAAGGGTAAAGTTTAAGTGTTGCATACATATATTTTTCTCTGTGAAAGGAGTCTTGCTGCTGTCTGTCAGTCACTCTGTTCTTGTTCCTTCTCCCCTCCCTTTAATAATTACCCACAGCCAGACGCTGCTTTACGCTTCTTCTACCTTCCTGCTTTCCTGTTTGCCTGTGTAAACGGCCTCAACCAAAACTGTCCTCTCCCCTCTCTGTTCCCTTTTCTGTGGCGCTCTCTCTGTTTTGTCTTTGTTGCTGTTCTGTCTCATCTTCCTCTAACCGACCATTCACTCTACCAGCTTTTTTACTCCCTCCCTCTGTCCTCTTAATGGCTTTCTCCATAGCGATAACTCTTTACTGCTTACATAAATTAGTTAACCATTGACACAGGAGAAACCAATTTTTTCTTCATTACAGGAGTTGTCCCTTGCAATTTAGTAACATCAGCCACACTCTCAACGAGCTCCTAAATCACAGCCCTGTTTATCCTCTGCACTCTGTGTGTTCTAAATTGATTGGAGTTGAGGAAAGAGATAGAGGGAGGACTTGGGGGGAGATGGAGAGAAGAGCAGGATGTCTGGAGAGATCATTGTAAAGAAAGCAGGGCAGCAAAGAGAGACAATATAAGGCAATGTGAGGAGACAAATGAGGAGAAACACAAGTGACAAATTATGAAAAAGAAAGGGGCTGGAATTGTTTGATCCCATCCCCCTCTCCGGGGCTGCTTGGTAAAAACCAGGTCAGTGGAGAGGCAACTGACTTGGAGAGTCAGTCTCTCCTCTCTCTCCTCTTTTCACTCTTGCCTCCTTTTAAAAAGCAGCTGTTCGCTGACCTACAAATTCTCATTCTCTTTAACAAGGGGACAACAACACATAGCTTTCCTCTCCATATTAAGCCTCGGTTGGGATCAATAAAGCTTTCAGCAACCTGGAGAAAAATAGAAAGCCTTCATCATGGGTCACTGTATCAAATGTCTTCTTGATGGTAAGTGTGTGGAGAACAGCACGTGCTCGCGTTTATATCTCAGAATTGCAGGAACCCAACAAAGCAGCTGCTCTCTGGTTCTTTGTCTGGACTAGTCTATTTCTCACGTGTCCCCCCTCTCTCCCTTCTAAACCCTCCCAGGCTTCACATTATTACATAATACTGGTTTCCAACTGGTACCGCTCTCGAACAGCCATTTCCTCATCTCCTCCTCTTTTTTTGCATTCTATATGTTGGCAAAGGCCCTCTGCAGGTGATTGGGTCATGACTTTATGTTCGAGAACATTTTGTCTCTTCTGGAATAACAAAAGAATGCAAATGAGCTGTGTCTCTTTGCACTTCCCCTCCTGTGTCTGCTGAACACAGAGGGCCTGCCTCACACGTGCCATTGGCCAGCCCAGCCTCCTGCCCTGCCCCCAGCAGACTGAGCTTAAAGCTGATTGGTTCTGTCTCTGTGTTTACATGGAAGCCTGGCCCCCTTTTTTTTCCCCCTCACCCACTGACTCCGCCCTCATGATCAGCCAGGCTAAACTTAAGTTTCTGAACCTGCCTCCACACCGAAGTAAACAAAGAACCCGAGGCTGTAGAAACAAAGTGCCTACATTTTAGAGTTTCACGCTTTATGTTCTCCTTATTACACAAGCAGTAGCCTTGTGGAGATTTCAGTTTTTATGGGTGTTGACACTCCTGAAGATGTCCTGTGGATATGGAAGCAGCAGCAGCAGCTTCCAGCGGACTTACTAACAGCCCTCGTCTCCCCGATCTTCCCCTACAGGCAGCCGCAGCCCACCTCGGGACAGACGCCCATGGTGTCCCCACGGGCTGAGACCACCCCGATCCCAGTTCCCACCCAGATCAGAAACTACCAGCGCATCAAGCAGAACCTCTCCAGCAGTCCGACCACCACGCTGTACAGCTCCCCCAGGTAAGAGCCACCTCTGCTGGGTCTGAGGGTGAAGGAAGTGCATTTGCTTGCTGGATGGTTCTGACTTAACTCTGCATAATTTATAGGTTTTTTTTTTTAAGTGATTAGTAATGAAACACCTGGAATGGACACCTGTTTGTCAATGTCAGCTTGTGATTCATGTTTTACTCACCTTTTTGGGAGTGAACCTTCAGGCAAGACATTGAAAATCCGGGCCGTTATTTCATCAGCCATAAAGTTTCACTGAAATTACATCAGCTAAGTGCCTGCTTGAGTTTGTGGCCTCCCAACCTGTTGCTGGGAGGGATTGTTGGCGGCATTATGTGAAGACAAAGCAGATTTGGAAGGCAGAGGAAGAAAGAAGGGTGGCACCTTGTTTCACAGGAAGGTTAGCTCTGTTGTTATATACAGTCTGAAAAAAAGGAGAACAGGGGAGGTACTCAGCTGTATTGTATTGCTAATGTGTTTATTATTTAAGAGGGTTACTGTGCTGGCTTCTGTGTTCATCTGGTGGTTGCTGGCTTTGTCATTTTTCATTAAATTCTTTCTGTGGTGACTGTAGCTCTAAAGATGAGGATTTGCTTAATGGTTCTCTAGTAGCAGCTTGTTCAAACGACCTCTGTGTACACCCATGGGAGTTTAGATTCTGGAGGACAGACAATGTCCCTCTCACCACCCTCTCACCCTAGCTGTGCTCCTTTGCTCAGCTGTCTCACTCTGCAGCCGTCCTGTCTCATCAGTCTGCTCAGGGAGGATTAGAGCTGTGACACTCTGTCCCTTTGACCTATCAGAAGCCCTTGTTAATGCGTTGGTATTGTTATTCTCACTTTTGGGAGCAAGGAATGTGACAGGTAGAACTTAATTTACTGTGTAATGTGTAATTTTGCTCCAATTTCACAAGATGACATCACCATAACGCTGGAAACCAGAAGAAGGACGTAATGTGATTTGTGTTGAGCTCTTAGTATGAGCTCTTAATATTACCTAGCATTTAGAGAGAGATTTGGCCTTTGTGCACCTGCAATATTTTTTACCTTCTAAATGTAACAGATAAGCGCAGTTTGCCTGCCACATGCAGGTGGGGACAACTTAAAGGTTCCCTGTGGAGTTTTTGACCATTAGTAGCACTATGGAGTAATGTTTTGATTAGTGGGTCCCCATTTTTAGATATGTTGCCAACATTCTTGCTGCTGGTTTCAGTTGTTTGACTGATTGAGGGGCAACACACTTAGAAACATAGCAATGTAGAAACAAAGGCAAGAAAGGAGAAAACTATTAGCTTCCGAACATGGATGTACATATTAAAAAAAAAATCTCCTTTGCAAGTATTTAAGGGGGAGGAGATGCATTTAGTGCGTTTGTTAGACCTCAGGGATAAACACTCCCTGTAAACCAATAAAAGTTATTTTTACATACAAACTCAACAGGTCATCTTTTAACAAAATCTGTACCTTCTGCTGTTGTATTCAGGACATTTGACTCTTCACATACCTCAGATAATGTAGTGTATCTCACGAGGTCCCACAAAATACTGCAACTCTGCAGTTGTTGCAAATATTTTGTGTGATAGCTTTGAAATGAGCAATCTGCACAGAAAATGCTCCCACACATGCTTCCGCTGCTGTGTTACTCAAAACTGTGCCGAGGTCTCGTACAGTACTTGCAGCGGTAATGGGTTGTCTCAGCAGCCAAACAAGTATTTACTAATTGGCAAAACTGGTTGAAATTAGCCAAAAGGGAGAAAAAATAAGTCATTTGGGAGAGGGAAGTGGAATAACTGAATCCTTGATGAAGCCAAGAATTTTATTTATTTATTTCTTAACTCTTTGGATTGGTTTAGTGTTAAATAAGGCATTTTTCTCATGGCCCTGAAAACTGAATGACTTATTATAGTATATGTATTTCATGTTTTTTCTGATCTGTGTTTGTGTCTTCTAGGTCTGGCACAGTGAGGCGCTCAAACACTAGTCCTATGGGGTTTCCCAAGGTGGGCTCAGGGTCCCCGAGCTCTGCAGACGTCCCTCAGACAGTAGGCAGGCGTCTCTCCACTGGCAGCTCCCGGCCCTACTCCCCCTCACCTCTTGGTAAGGACATGCCCCGACATGTCTCCAAGCACATCAGGCTCTTAATTACACCTCCAAGACATGAATTGGACTTGGTCACAAGTAACTTGTTTGTGTTTGTAGTGGGAACCATCCCTGAGCAGCTGGGTCACTGCTGCTGCCACCTGCAGAACCATGAGCCTCGCAGCCGCAGCTCCTCAGGAGGTCAGTTCAACTGCCCTTTACGTGGCCTGGTCACTGGGTTAACTTGCATCTTACTGTGCAAGCTTGTTCCTATGGGTTGTTGAAACAGCAACATGGTTATTGGTTAACATGAAAGAACAGCGAAGCATAAATTTGAATTTATCAAATGCACCCACAAATAACAATTACTAGGATGTACCATATGGATACAAAGAACCAAAGAATGGATTCCAATGTGCAAAAAAAAAAAAATTATACAACAATAACACCAATGTGTACAACCCCATTTAAAGTCGGCAGCATTTACTGCAGTTCAGAGTTGTTTTGATTCTCTCCTGTGTGTCATGACTTGATTATTGACATCAGTGTATGAGTCACCATGAGTCAAGGTCTTTTTAAAAGTATCTGACGCTGCTGTTATATTAACACTGCAGACATCTTACAACTTCTTCACTGTTTGTGTCAAGACGTTTGCTGTCATGGTGACAAAGAGGGAAGTTACAGTTCATGGTCTGAAATGAGGCCTCAGCCAGACAGAGAGCAGCACTTTGTCCCCTATTTGGAAAGTGACACAAACAAGCAGAATTTATGACCAATGGATAGTCTCTCTGGAAAGTCTCTCTGGAAAGTCTCAGGGCTGTTTTACTTTTGCTGGATGGGTAGAAATTGTCACGTGCAGCATCACTCCCTGCTGCAATTTTTTAAACTAATTTGAATCCATTCCCTCTACCCTGTCTAGGTTCTCCCGTCCCATCCTCTCAGCTCCTGGGGGCTCGGCTCCAGAGTGCCCCAACCCTTACCGAGGTCTACCAGACCAGGCAGAAACTCCACAAGCAGTTTTCAGACCCTGTTCAGCCCTCCTCCTCCTCCTGCAGCCACTCCCCTCAGCTTGGCCGACCAGCCAACCTCGGCTCCTCCCCCACCAAGCTCCTGGGCTCCTCCCCCCGCACGTCTGACTGGCTGCAGAAGTCTCCACTGCCCACCATCATCGGCTCCCCTACTAAGGTCAGTGCAGGTGTTAGTCGTGCAGATGGTCAATACCAAATCAACTAAAATATAATTTGTTAAAGTGTTTTATTTATTTCCATTCAGACCATTTCGGCACCGTTCAAAATCCCCAAAACGCAGGCGTCCTGTAACTTGATGGCGCTGGCAGACAGCCCTGTGCCCACCAAGACATTGGCAGATGCTCGGGATATCTGTGCCCACCACTGCAGTCCGTACCTGACCGGGCGCCCAGCTGCCCCCGAGGCCAGCAGGACGTTTGGCAGGTAGGACTCACTGAAAGACCCATGTACTCTTTCACAGAACTAGATCACTTTTCTTTTGGTTTCATCTCAGCTTGTTAGACTGATGAATTAATCTGTTCTGTTCTGGTCTAGTCGTTCTCTAAATAAGATGTGACATGGTGCTCTTCAGGTTTTTACATACAGAATGTATTGTACAGTTAATCAGTAGTACACTCATAGCTAGATAGCCCATCAACTGAATGAAATCTAATGTGACACGTTGGACTCAACGCAAATGTCATTTTATCATCTTTATTCATTTTGCTGGGTTTAAATAGAGCACTGGCTACATTTTGTTTCAGATCAAGGTTGTTATAGTAAACTGAAACTAGGTTTGGAAAAACATTTTAGTTAGCTGAAACAAACTGAAAAAAAACTCCAAAACCTACCCCGAACAATATTGTGTACTTACAAAACTAACTACATCAAAAATACAAAGGAAATGTCTGTTGGGTAAAATTTGCACGAGGAAGCATTGTTGCATATGTTTATTGAGAATGGGATGTCTACATGACTGGGACTAATAAAAACTCAATTAAACTTAACTGAAACTAAACTGAATTGAGAACAGAAATTAAAAATAAAATATTTTTTCAGATGCATTTCTGTGCACAGTTCTGGGTCCAACATTAAATACTTCTAAATTGACCCTTGATATCTAACTCCCTTCATGCATATTTACATGGTAGTTTTTGGAGGAAAGGGCACCAGCCTCATCAAACGGGAACATTGTCAGAATAATGTAAAAGGTGAACTGTCAAGGATCTGTGTGTTAACCCCCCCCTTCCCTTTCCCTCTACAATGTGACATCACATTGTCTGCTCTTTGACATTGCGTTATCTGTGGTTCCCTCCAGGTCTGTTAGTACGGGTCGTCTGTCTGAGCAGCCAATCAGAATCACTCTGGGTGGACAGGCCTATCAGGGCAGCACTGACAGCTTAAACACAGAGCGACCCATGGACACAGGTATGGGTACACTGCTGCAAACACAATAGACAGTGTTAATTACCACAGGTTGTCTTAGTTCACTCATTTAGTCAGACAGGTGCTGTTCCTGCATGCAGTGTACTTGCTATTTTTTATAGCTATGATGCTTCATTTAAACTTGTGTATGACAGAGAAATAATCAGTTACATTTCCTCTTCCCAAAGCCCCTGCAGGTCCATGTGGGCTGGCTCAGGGCGGGTCAGCGAGTCCCCGTACTGTCCTTTTCACCGTGGGCTCACCTCCTAACAGCAGCACTCCTCCTACCTGCAGCCATTTGGGCACACGACCACGCACCACCTCAGTGGGCTCCAACAGCTCAGCTGGCTCCCTGTGCTCCACCAGCGGTCGCGTCTATGTCGGATCTCCACCAGGCATGGCCATGGGCTGCTCTCCTCCAGGAGGTTTCGCTGGTGGGCAGATTGTCCCCGGGTCGGACGGGGCACCCAGCAGCCTGCGCTACGTCCCCTATGGGACCTCTCCTCCCAGCTTGGAGGGATTCATCACATTCGAAGCCCCTGAGCTGCCTGAGGAGACCCTCATGGAGGTGAGGGGGAGTTTGATGTCTATTTCTCATCTTTTAAGAGGTAAATTGGTCAATTCAGGAATAACTGGTGTTCTCTTTTAACCTTCCTTTGTGTTTCCTCCAGCGTGAGCACACAGACACCCTGATGCACCTACGGATGATGCTTTCATTTACCGACTGCGTCCTGGAGATGGCGGCGGTTCGGGCCGGAGGGACGGAGCTTGGCGTGTCGGCCGCCTCCCTCTACCCTCCCCAGGACAGCGTGGTTGTAGACCAGATCAGTCAACTCAGCAAAGAGTGGGGGTAAGTAATGACTCAGGTCTAGTCTGACTTTATAATAATGTCATGCAGTTAATAATAGCACATAGTCTGAGGAGGCCCTTTGTTTAGTGGAGTTGCTGCAGTGCTGAAGCTTTTCCATCTGTCTGATATACTGTGGTTGTGTTGCCCTCTACAGGCAGGTGGAGCAGTTGGTGCTCTACATGAAGGCAGCACAGCTCCTGGCTTCCTCCCTCCATCTGGCCAAGGCTCAGATTAAATCAGCCAAGCTCAATCCATCCACTGCCGTCAAACAGGGTAAGGACATTTCAGTCATCATCTCCCAGTAATGACCAGTGCATTAAACTGGAAACTGTAGGTGAGAAAATGAGCAATTCTGCCGTTCACCCTCTTTATCAGCAGGAGAAAGATGCTGGCGTTATGTAGTAGTATGTGTACTTAATAGGGAGAGAAATATGTCTGAAATACAAGCCTGCTTCTGCAAAAAATACTAATCCCTCTTCCCTTCTTCTCTCAGTGGTCAAGAATTTGAATGAGCGTTACAAAAGCTGCATCTCCCTCTGCCGGCGGCTGACTGACAAACTCAACCACTTCTTCTCTGACAAGCAGCGCTTTGTGGATGAGATCAACAGCGTCACCGCGGAGAAGCTCATCTACAATCACGCTGTGGAGATGGTGAGTCTCACATACACAGCACTGAAACACAAAACATCTTCTGGGTTTAAAGGGACAAAGGGAATTTAATCTGGCATAGATTCTCATCATTTCCACCAGGTTTTTCAAAGCAAAATCTATACTGGTCAGCCTGATGCAATGCTGTGTGTGTGTGTGTGTGTTAGGTTCAGTCAGCAGCTCTGGATGAGATGTTCAAGCAGACAGAGGACATAGCCTACCGCTACAGCAAGGCCGCCATGCTGCTGGACGGCCTGTCCAAGATCCTGCAGGACCCCACTGACATTGAGAATGTGGTTAAGTGTAAGTACTATCTCATGAGACACATGCACACTCTCAGTGTTACACAATGGGCCTCATGCATGTAATTTTATTGTATTATGATATCTGCTGTGTATTTTGTGATGTACATGTTAAAGCCCGCGGGGCAAGGGTTCAACATGAGCAACAGCTATAAAATCTGTTACATTGCATTGTCCCTATCAATAATTCAAATCATTCAATGGCGGGAACAAGTGATTTACAAAGACTGTCCAGTTAAGAGAGTTTGCTGAATCTGACTGGTAACACTCTGAGCAAACCTCAGACAAAAGTAAGACAGGTTTAGGATAAGAATATATGAAAATGTTTGTGCATGAGGCCCAGCAGAGCTGTGGTCTGTCTAAAACTATATTTTATCGAAGTGTTTGCTTTATCAACTTCTACTAATATATTGTTGTTTTGTGTATTTTTCCTGCAGACAAGGCCAGCGTGGACCGCAGGATCTCAGCCCTCTGCTACTGCACTGTCACACTGTACGAGTAGCAGCCCTTACACACACGCACACACACAGAGGGACCACGTCCTCAGACTGTTGACTACCATCCTCACAAAGCCGCTGTTCCCTCCTGTAGCAGTTCAAGCACTTTTCATTTGATAGGTTTCATCTGTATTTATCGTCGGTTAGTTTTACTGGCTGCATCACGGACTGAACTGTGACAAGCGACTGATGCACGAATTTACAACCAAAGATGACAACGGATCCAGAAACAAAAGGCTGAAACCGGATGTGGACATAATGCATGCACTTTCAAGTGCATCCTTTTTTTTCATACGCTATAATGGTGGAAACCCACCTGATCAATATATATATATATATATATATATATATATATAGAAAACTAATGTCCATCTTTCAGGATATCATTTGTTTTTTTACCAGAAGAAGAAGAGGATGGACAGGGCTATGAGATTGTGCGGGCTTCAAGAGACTCAAGCTCCCCATGACACAGTTCATCTTTTTAAAATCCTGCTTACTATGTGATATCAGTGGTTATTTACTCTGTGTTTTAAGTTGTTATTGTTCTTATTTATTGGTTCAGAAGAACACGGATGTTTGAGTCTCCTGCCTGTCTTGAAAACCTCAAGTATCGGAGTGGAAGGAAACAAGTAATTAGCAAAAGGCTTACCGCCGATCACTGTAACAGATGAGACTCAGAAACAACATGAACTTTTACAAGACACACAAACTCCTGTTACAGAAAGCAGACAGCCATGTGAACAAAGGAACCTGTAGATCTGTAATTGCTTTTGTTTTTATTTCTCATGTGTTGTTAGCTCAAGCACTTTATTGTGGATTGAGAGGAGGAGACGTATATCTGTACAAGTTCTGAAGGAAGAAATGTGAAGGCTGGGGAAGGGTTAACTAATCACCTCCCATCTTCGAAACTTTCCCGCTCTGTGTGCATGATCAATAAGTCTACAGACTGCATACGTTTCCCATAAGGCCGAGCAACCTGGGGAACTTGGGACAGCCAAGACAAACTGCTGACAGCTCAGCTAGATCTGTTCTCTTGTTAGCTGATTTAATTCATACGTTTAAAGGGCCACACCTCCACATTTTCCACCTGGAAACCTGAGATTGTAAACCAGATGACATCATAAGTGCTATAATCTCCTCGATAATTTATGATGATGATTTTTAATTTAATTGGTCTTTCGCATGTTCTGCAACTTTATGGAAGTGTAATGCTACATGGTGGAATATCCCTTTAATTCCAGATACAGTAGTTGTGTCTGGCATATGGACAAATGGGCTACAGTTAGAATGTAGCCATTTAAAGCAGATGCCATCAAACCGTCATTTATCGAGCTGTGAAGCTTTGATCGGCTTGTACTAACTTCATTTTGCACTTAGGAACAGAAGAATCGGACAGACATTTGTCCCATTGTTTTCCTTGTTGTTTAGTTTTACAGGAACGTAACAGCTGCGGTGACTTGTTGATTTTGCCGCTCAGAGTGAGGAGGGGTTTAGGTGGGTTTAGGTTGGTGTGTAGGCTTGGATATTCCGAAGAAAAGCAGAACTTGAGATCCTCTGCAGTGGTGGTGGGCCCTTCTCCGGCCTCCACTGCAGTGCTGAACAACCAATCAGGAGTCCTCTTTAAACCCTGATGGAGTTAATTGTGAATGGTCATATTACTTGACATGTTACCTTAATAATAAGTTTCATTTTACTAAAATACTACAGCTTTTTATGTTTGTCAGTATCTGTAGCTAATTTTTTTTAACAAAACTTGATGTTTGCAAACTTGTATATATTTGTATGTGGTGCATGTGATGATTCCTTTCCCCTCTTTTTTGGGAGGGGAGTGAGTGCGTGTGAGATCACAGTTTGAGTTTTTAGGGGGCGTTGATGATACCATCAGATGGCCCTGCCTGTCAGTCAAAGAGCACAATTCTTTATATGTACATAGATGAATTTGATACGTTTTATTCATGTCTGCCAAGGGTTTGATAAGGAAACCTATTTTGGCACAACAGGGGTGTGCCAAAGAATAAAATAAAACTCGTGGCAGCTCCAAAACTTTCCAGAAAACTCTTTCTACCAGGACTGTTCATTGTTGAGATCAAGACACACACATTTGTTCAGTGAGTCTTATAAAATTTTCTGAAATGAGTGTGATGTCTTCAGATTTCATTCTCATTTTCCAAAATTTTGTGATACTTGATTTTGTCACAATCTGCACTGCCTAGCATCTACTCAGTCCCTCTGCCTCCCTTCAAGTCTTCTGCTGTGCTCCCAATGGTGTATGTACTGTATGTATGTTTGAGTGTATATATACACACGTGCACTTGCCAGGTGTGCATTAAGGCCAGTAATATACAGGTTACGATGGAAAAGGAGGTGCCTTCTTCTTGTGAAAGCAGACGTAGGCCTACTCCTCTGTACAGGTGTGAATACATTCTTTCTCTGTGTAAAAATGTGTATAAATGCATTCACAGGCACCCAGCCGACTGTGGGCCTGTCTCTCTGATGTACTGTTCTTTTTCCTTGACATATCTGGGTGCCAGCTCCCCCTTGTCTTTGTCATGAGCACTCTGAACCACACAAAGCCTTTTACTGCACACAGAGTGAAGAGGGACAAATAAAGCTGATGGAAAGAAACCCACCTGAATCTTTGCTCTGTTCCATTTTATCCACAGACTGTAACTGAAGACTGACTGTTTTAGATAAAGCATGGGTACCAAGTCTGCATTTTACCCCATAGAACCTCTAGAATCTTGAATGTATGTACCCTGTTGTTTTTGCGCCTCTCCAGCTTGATCTGAATGCATTTTAAGGAACTCCTGCTGTCAGTCACCACCCTGAAAATGCAACACTTTCCAAGCACCGATTTTTCAAAGAGAAATGTTAATGTTATACTTGTGTCTCTCACCAAGGGGTGTCTCTCTTTGTTCTTTATGGAACACAAATATGGTCTTTGTTATTAAAAAGAGAAAAAAAGAAAGAATTCTTGCTGTGTCTTATTTTTACAAGCTTGGTTCTGTGTTGATTTCCCAGATGTTGAGACTTTGGACGAGTTCAATGGAGGTTAATGTTTTATTGTGCTACCTTAAACAGATTCATTGGAAGCCTTAGATCATCTGTTCCCAGCCTTTCCCCTTAAAGGAGCCTTTTTCTATCATTGAGTAAACTAACTGACATTTTATGGATATTTTATGTTATATTCAATGCACAACAATAACAGTAGAGAACAGCTGATTAACTGTATTTAAAGCAGATTATTTCCTGTGAATATTGCATCAGAGAGGAGTTTTCCTGATCATTTTTGGAACTTTTTATATATTTTGAATTTTTTGTAATTCCTAACAATCATACATACTTAATAGGCCTTTCGTTTCCTTCTCATTGTTCTATTAGCTCATTGGGTTGTTTTAACTGTACTTTCCTAATGCATGAGGAGACTGTTTATCAGAAGAGTGAAGGCTTTTTTTTCTTATTTGTTTTCTTATTATGTTTAAATCTTAAATAATAATATAACTTTAAAAATAAGATATACGCCTACTGTATTTATTTTTAAAAACATTTTCTTACATCCCTTTCAGGACCAGTGTGTAGGATTTCAACTCCCTCACCAATTACATGCCTTTTACATTCAGCAACCTTCTCTCCCAATCCCATTATCTGGAGCATCAGGGAACATGTGCTTTAATCTATCGTGAAATAAATTCTAACCATTCTACTGTGATAACTACATTTTTAGTATGGCACTCCCCAGTCTGGCTAACATATACGCTCCTTCATGTCTACTGTTACGTCGGTAATTTGACTTCCCCTTAATTTTCCAGTATGGGAAGGACTTCATTGTTGAATCTGAACCCTGATGAGTGACATCGACATACACTCATATGTATATGTGTGATATCTTACTGCTGGCTTTTCTCCTTTTTTGGTCGCTCCAAGCAGCTGTACCGTAACAGCGCGAAAAGACGCGAATCAAAATCCGACCTACCCCTTTCTATCTGTGACCTGTCAGATTCAGTGATTTCATTCTTAACCCGCCCTAACCACACCCCCCTCCTCGTGCCTAAACCTAACCAACAGAACCTGATGGGTGACATATTTCAGTGTCACACCGGTTGTAGGACTCAGCGCAGCTATCAGCAGCTATCTGCAGCTTGCTGTTGTTGTTATTGCTGTGGAGGGAGGAGCTCAGCTGGTTGTGTTTTGTAGCTGATTGGTTATTTTCTTTGATTGACACACCTACAGACCAATCGCTAACACCGTTCGGCTGGAGGCTAGCTAACCTCACGACGTTATAACTTTGTACGCTAACCAGTTAGCCACTAGCCTTAATAGTTGACAGTACAACTGGTTACAGCTGGAAGTGGTGACTCTGAAAGGTAAACGTTGCTATGTTTGTGCTATATGTGTTCGTACATTTGCTATAGCTCGCTATTTAACAACATTTCCCAATGCTATCACTGCCCGTTAGCAACCAAGCTAAGCCACTGGGCTGCCAGGGTGAATGTGTTCGTGAATACAGCTAACTTTTATACTGACTGTATTATTAACTTGCTGCTAACGTTAGTTGATTAGAACTGTCATGGTCTCCTTTACAGTACAGTTAGTGTGTGCTAAAATGTGTACGACAGCATAGTCACATTACATGCACAATAACTTTATCTAAAGTCCCAATTCGAATAATATGAACACCACATCTCCTCAGACAATGTTTGAAAGGTTTCCCTGTTTTATTGCTTCTCGGTAAAATGAATTTATCTGAACAACGTGTGGTTAATGTCACTCACAAATGAGTGTTATGCTCTTTCCTTCGCTTCTCATAGCGTTGACAGTGTTATTCATAGCTCATTCACTGACTGACCTGTGGTATGATTTACTTATGTAGCCATCTTAACTATAACTGACGTTACAGTGTCATTAATTAAACCAGAAAGGTACAGTTGGCCCTCATACTGTCTGTTCATGTCCTATTCAAGATGTCCCGAGAGCAGCTGGTTGTACAAAGGGCCAGGAAGTCCTTCCACACAGGGAAAACCAAACCGCTGGAGTACAGGGTCCACCAGCTGAAGAGCCTGCTCCGCTTCATCTCAGACAGACGCAGAGACATTGCAGATGCTGTCAAAAGGGACCTGGGCAAGGTGGGTTAGTCTGAGCTACAGGCTTTCAGTAGGTCCTAGGATCCAGGAAGAGGTTGGGATTGTGTGAGGGCTTGGAAACTGGATACATTCACCTGACAGGAATGTATAATAGCAGGTAGAACAGTCACTGCCCTAAATCATTTTCAGTCTGTCTGGATCAGCAATGGTTAGATTTAAGCTCATTAGAGAAACAGCTATTAACACCCCAGACAGGGAGAACTGTAACTGGATTAGAAAATAAATGGAAGTTTGTAACTAAGGAAACTGATCACAGAGAAACATGCTGTTATGCCGGTCTTTTGCGCGCGGTTTTATTTGTTTCCAAAGTTGATCATCTAGTTTGCTTCTCCTGTTCGAACAACACGTGCAGTTAAATACTGCCATGTAGCTCTTGGCCTTTTGAGGATAAATTACACTTTTTAAACAAACACAGACTCCTACAGCAGGGGTCTCAACTCAGATTGTCTTGGGGCCACTACTGGTATTGTCATCCCATAGGATCCTGTGGGCCAGATTATATGGTTACCAGATTTTTTACTGGTTTGCCTTTTTTCCATTTGCATTCATTATGGAAGATACATTACATATCAGAATCAACAAACTGAAATACTTGCATAACATCTCTACATCTATTCACTATAGTGATCCAATATGCATTGTAAATACAATACATATAAATGTATATGCACTAGTGACATAAAATTAAATATAATAAAGAATAATGTGAGTCACACAGAAGAGATTATATGATATATTAATATCATGGTGTGGACTGGAGGGCTGAAAATGGCCCATGTGTATATTTGGTCAATTTCCAGCTCAGCACAGCAACGTGGTAGAGCTGGACAAAATATATAATATATATATATATATATATATATATATATTAAAGAAAAAGTAGCATTTCAGTCCTATTTAGCCTTCTGAGGTCCTTTATCAGCCAGCACAATAAAACAGAAATTTCACCAAACTGCCTTAAGTTTTGGTCTTAAAAACATAAAAAAAAACATCCTCCGATACGTTCATCAGTCTACTATAAACTGTATATAGTTAGAATGTGAATTTATTTTGTAGAGCTATGTGAGGAGAACAAAAAGAACAACGTACACATTTGCGAATAGAGCTATTGATATTATGACGCCATGGTGTATGGGCAGTCGTTATTGGTTGTTATCATTACGGGTCAAGAAAACATAATGTGTAAATGCCCACTCCTATAATATTCCAGACTGATAGGCCATTACCTTCATAGTGTGTTGACACCTACTTCATCAGTATTCGTTGTGTAATGTATACATGTGTAAAATGATTGATGAGTACAGTCATGTACCTAAGCATACCTGATTTGAAACCATATGCACACTAAAATCTGATATTGTTATTTTTAAGAAAAAATACTATTTAAAATGCAGATTTATAGAGTGTAGAGCTGTGTGGAAACCCAGTTCAGACCAAAGATTTGCATTGAGACGAGTTGAAACTTGTAACTGCTTGCAAAACATTCTGTAGCCCTGCCAGTTTACACTAAAGCGACTAGACCAGACGATGTATTGTCTCCATAACAATTTATTATAGATAACTAAAACTAGGCATGAAACATTTTAGTGAATTGAAATAAAAATAAAAACTAGACTTTGAGCCCACATGAGGAGGCATTGTTTATTGAGCTTAGGATGTCTACATGACTGCGAGTCAATGTGTTTGTATTGTAATACCTATTCTGAACTTCTTAACTCTTGCCCCTGACAAATATGTCCCATATTATAATAAAAAACTAAAACTATTACAAACTAAACTTTTTAAACAATAGAAAATAAACTGAAACAAGCAAACTACCTGAAACTAAATTGAATTGAAAACAAAAGTTAAAGACAAAACAAAAAAACAAATTAAAAATGATAACTATAATAACTCTGGTCCATAGCAACTAATCTCTAACATCTAATTGCTAACTTGTCAGGCTCTTTTTGTAGCCGAACATAATTTGAAGCATCTTAAGATATGAATGAACCTCTCTTTCCTCCATCCAAAACTCTACCAGTTCACCAGCTGACTTTGTTACAAGGTGACCTGCCTTATGTCTAAAACCCGCCACTGGAGATTTGACAAGCTGAGTTGTTAGGCAACATCATCAGCCAGCTTGAGTAGAGCTGAGACAACAACGATTTTGTCTCATCGTGAATCTTTGGTCTAAAATGGTCATTAATCATTAAAATGAGTTGTTATTGATCAGAACATGGATCTTCAATCTTGGTGGTATTTTTCCTGCTTCCTCTTAAACATTTGTAGGATCATTCTAATGTTCCCTCATTTCTGAAAGAGAACACACTGATATTAACTAGAACCACTTATGTAGTTAATGTCTTTAGACAAGTGTTTGACATGGGTTAAATATAATTTGTCCTTAAAGATAAATAAGTGGCCATTACTACAATATTGACAACAAAGCATATCTGCCTGATTTTGTATCTCTGCCCATTTATCACATCAATCGTGACAGAGAAACTCTGTAGATGAATTAAATGATAAATGATTTGCTCTGTACTCTGGAGATCTTCTAATTTCTGGCCAGGGACTGCAGATGATGATTAGACTTTGATCTGCTGAACAGATCAATAAACATGAATTAACAAATGAATAAATCAGAGCATGGTCAATGGATTTTGTCCCTCCTTTGGCTTTTAGAGCGAACACGGGACCGAGCTGTTTGAGACACTGGGGCTGGAGGGAGAGATCAAGCTGGCTATAGAGAAGCTGTCAGAGTGGGCGGCTCCTCGGCCAGTGGAGAAGAACCTCCTCACCATAACAGATGAGGTTTATGTGCAGCCCGAGCCTCTGGGAGTTGTGCTCATCATAGGGGCCTGGAACTACCCCTGGGCCGTCACCCTCCAGCCGCTGGTTGGAGCTATCGCTGCCGGTACCACATATACTCATACACAACCTTATGTACTGGTGCTATTAAAGCAGCCCAACATCAAAGCAACACCAGAGAGTCAGAAACAATTATAAGCCCCTTTCAGACATGTCTGTGAAAGTGCCCTAGTCACCTGGATGGATAAATCACGACGGCAGTCTTCCTGTAAAGACCTGTAACCTTTCTCTTCCAATACAGCAGAAGACTAGACTGAATGCTGTCAGATTAAAGAGACAGTTCACCCCAAAATCCAGAATACATATGTTTCCTCCTACCTGTAGTGCTGTTTATTCAACCAGATTGTTTTGATGTAAGTTGATGCGTTTGAGACACGTCTGCCATCTCTCTTATATAATGGAACCAGATGGCACTCGGCTCATGGTGCTCAAAGCGCCAAAGAATCGAGAAATCATGACCCGGTCACTCAAGGTAATCCACAGACCTTGTTGGGGCCAGTTTCATGTAGTAATTATTTTCTTTTTACCGAACTACACCTGCGAACCGTAGCTGAATGTTAGCTATCTCAGTGGTGCTAGGTGTGCTAGGTGAGCTAGCTAACGTTCAGTCAAGGAAGATGCTGATAAAGGTCCAGTGTGTAACATTTAGGAGGATCTATTGTCAGAAATGGAATATGATATTCATAGGTATGTTTGCATTAATGTATAATCAGCTGAATATACGAATCGTTGTGGGGTTTTTTTGCCTTAGAATAAGACAATTTTATCTACAGAGATATTCTACGAAGTCTGCCATGTTGATTCGCCGCCATGTTGATTCGCCGCCATGTTTCTACAGCCCAGAACGGACAAAACAAACATTGGCCTTTCTTGTTTTTCCCAAGTTTTGCTCCCACCACTCCCTCACCTTCTCCTACACACTTCATAGGAATGCAGCATGCAGATAGTTGCAATCTGCAGTTTCGCCACTAGATGTCACTAAATCCTACATCTTAGCTAAATTAGATTTAGGTGGAAAAACAAACAAAATAATTACTGACCATTACAGATTGATAACAGTGTCAGGGATTTCACCCACATTGGCACATTTTTTGAGTGGTTAAGGATTGTGCCTCTCATTCAACTTTCAGGTAATGCAGCAGTAATAAAGCCATCGGAGGTCAGCTCTCACTCTGCCAAGGTCATGGAGGAACTTCTCCCTCAGTATCTAGACAAGGTGAGCCTCCCACTGTGTTCCATGTGCTACCTTCATCTACATTCAGTGTGGATGTACAGTGAGTTTTAATGACTGCGTCTACTCTCTGCAGGATCTGTACCCAGTGGTGACAGGTGGAGTGTCCGAGACCCAGGAGCTGCTGAAGCAAAGATTTGACCACATTTTCTACACAGGAAGCAGCGTAGTGGGTAAACTGGTGATGGAGGCTGCAGCTCGCCACCTCACCCCAGTGACCCTGGAACTGGGCGGGAAGAGCCCCTGCTACATCGACAAGAACTGTGACATCACTGTCGCGTGTCGGTCAGTCCGAACTGTAAAGTGTAGCAGAGTGTAACGTTCTGCCATTATGTGAACTCCACTGAAGCCTCAGATAACCACCAAAAACACAGCAGTTGTTATCAAATACAACACAGTATGCTGGAAAAATGATTGTTTTCTCCCAATACAGTCGCATCACATGGGGAAAGTTTGTCAACTGTGGTCAGACGTGCATCGCTCCAGACTATGTCCTGTGTGAACCCTCCGTCCAGAGCCGAGTAGTAGAAGAGATCAACAAGAGCATCAAGGTGGGTCTAAAGTGAAGATTTATTTTACTATGTCAGTTACTGCTTACGCACTAGAACAATAATGTATTCATGATATTATTTGGTGTATTTCCCATATTTGAACAATAGCAACCATAGCTTGATACATAGTAACTATTCTATACGTTCATTAGGAGAGAAATGTTTCTGAGTTTTCCCTCTAATGATGAGACCACAATCATTTCTCTTTTATTTCACACATTGCAGGAGTTTTACACAGATAATCCCAAAACCTTTGAGGACTACGGACGCATCATTAACCAGCGGCACTTTAAGAGGGTCATGTCTCTCATGGAGGGGAGCACAGTCGCTGTTGGTGGAGACAGTGATGAGTCCCAGTGCTACATAGGTACGTGGTGTGTTTGAGCAGTTGGTCGCTAAAAAGTATTTGTACATTATGTTCGTGTATGCAATTGTGTGACGAAGAAAGCAGTTACAGGCAATTACAATATAGTTGAATACAAATACTTTATTTCTTGCCAGAATCCTTACAACTGTCCAACCAAAATAAATTCTTATATCGTGTGTTCCACTGTATATAAATCAGGATCATCTTGGCCTATACTCTCAGAATGAGCCCCTTCTTCTGTCTACTTGCAGGCCCCACTGTGTTAAAGGATGTGACGGGGGAATCCAAAGTGATGAAGGAGGAGATCTTCGGGCCTCTGCTGCCCATCATCACAGTGAGCGGCGTAGAGGAGGCCATCCAGTTTATAAATGAGAGAGAAAAACCTCTGGTTGTGTACGTCTTCTCCAATGACAACAAGGTAAACAATGACCAGCAGACATGTTTGCTTCCCATTATTCAAGTGGCTTTGATTTTAAAATGCGGTGATGCTGATTAGATGTTCTGTTTGATTATCTCACCCTGTTCCTGTCTGGTAAACAGCTGATCAAAAGGGTGATAGCTGAGACGTCCAGTGGAGCTCTGCTGGCTAATGACTGTTTGGTACACTTCACTGTCAGTGCTCTGCCCTTCGGAGGAGTGGGTGAGTGTAACAGTTCAACCGAACTGCAGCTATTAAGCCTGGAAGAAGAACGTTGACACACATTTACAGCTGACTTATCCTCCCACCTCTTTCTCAGGTAACAGTGGTATGGGCTGCTACCACGGCCGGCACAGCTTTGACCAACTCAGCCACCTGCGCAGCTGTCTGATCAAGCAGCTGAAGATGGAGGGAATAAACAGCATGCGTTACCCCCCTCACACCGCCAAAAAGCTGGGATGGGCTCGATTCTTTTTGCTCAAGCATGTCAACGTATGCAGGCTACGGCGCATGGCACTGCTGGCCATGTTCACTGGCTTGGCAGCATTTGTGGTGCAGGTAAAGGGAGTAAAATATAGCAGTCCAGTCCAAATTGGAATAAAAAGTTTTGTTTTGGTGTCAGGAATGCTTTATTTTACAGGTATTTAGTTTCCTAGAAAGTTTCCTGGAAAGGACTATTCAATTTGGTACTAATAAAATGGAGATATTTATGTGAGTTTAGTTAGTTGTGTTCAGTATATTTGCTGTTTTCCAGAGGAATTTCCTTGGAAGAACCACTGCATTTATGCACTATGCTCTGTATTTGTTGAAATTCTATGCTTCTCTGCAGACTAATTTCACTTTCCTGCATGTTCAGATAAACTGCTGTGAAACGACTAAAAGATCTCTCTAGATTATTCTAGCATTTAAAGGTCCAGTGTGTAACATTTAGGAGGATCTATAGTCAGAAATGGAATATAATATTAAGCTATATGTCCACATTCCTCTGAGCTGATTAGAGGGTTATTGAGATCACCTGTTGCACAGGGTGTGGGGACTGAATCTGCAAGGATTGAGCTGGGTGCTGTCCCCTCTTGGCCAATCAGGGTGTGACAATGCCCATTCTTTATTGCATTCTGATCCCTCCTCAAGTTAGTACAGACCTCACTTTATCAGATAGTGTCAGCGAGAAGTGTATTTGAGCATTTTGAAACTGAATCCTAGCAGTCAGGAACTGGTTCTCAGGCTTCTTCCCATCAGCAGACATCTGTAGAATCAGTACCAAGGAGTGTACCAGTTGATGTTCTTCATAATTAGTCCCAAATTATGAATTTACGGATACAAACTAGTTCCTTTCCAGGAAATTATGAGCCATAAGTGTCACCATTATTAATTTGTAGAAAAGTTTGGTTAAGTGCCACCTCCATTATTAGTGTCAGTCAGATTACTTCACCTTTAATTCTGTTCCCATATGATTTTTGAACAAGCCTCTCACACAGCTGTCCAAGAAACAAGACAAAATCTGCCTTGAGACAAACAACAGCAACAGTACCATAAAGCCTTGTTGACAACATTGCCAGTGGCAGCTGATGTTGCTACTAGTAACACTACTGTTGCCTTCAATTGCCACCATGCAATTACCTTTATTAAAGCATAAATCTGGCATTATTCTGAATCTCAATCAATTAATAAATCCCATAAAAAGACCATGACCAGCAGTGTGTTTGTCAATCTCTCAATACCATGTCTGTCACTTTCAAGTATATTGTTTCATTTGTTTAAAAGACTCCGTAAGGATGCATTTGCTGGGGACTGTTTCCATCCATCAATAGGTTCTGGACAAGAGTGGAGCTCTATGGCACAGAGGAATACGATATATCAGGCTCTGATTCACACAATACTTGTTAGTATCATCAATTCATTGTTGGTTTTGGTCTTTTTATGGGATTGGTTGACAATAAGAGAATTATAGAATGTGACCAGATTTATCCTTTAAGCTGTTCTCATTCAAGGAGGATTATCTGCAGTGTTCTTGTGTGCTGGACCTGTTGCAACGTCAGTGTATTTCACTGCATTGCCACATTTAGTAGTAAGTCATTTAAGTTCCAATACCAAGTCTGGTTGTTTCTTAGTCAAGACCAGGATCAGTTGGGACCAGTGTACTGGTTTCAGAGCAGATGTTACTGCCACTGTTCTCACTGATGTGTAAACATGAACTGATGTGTCTTACAGTAAAATAATGAGAACAACATAATTCAGGTCAGTGGTGTTGACCTTAATGGCAAGATTGTTCTATATAATACTGTCTATTCAAGTATGTTGTATCTTTAAAATAAGGGTTTTCCAGTTATTATATTTTTGGGGAAATGGGAAATGGTTTGGATGTGTGTTCCTGTTTGGTGGGATTAAACCCTGTTGTCCACCCCTGCCGTAGACCACATAAGCCATTAAATGTCACGAATGACTTGTCTTACGGAACAGGTTGTTGATCTGTAAGCAGGGTGGGAACTACAGGGGAGCCAGGGGGAGCTGGGCTCCCATTAATGAGACACGAGCTCCCCTGAAAACATGATTTGTGAAATAGTGGGGGGTCTGACAATATGCTATTTTTGCCATGCCTGTCTTTTTTTCTATATCTTCATCATCATGAATTATGCGTACATTTAGGCTACTATTGATGATGATTTGTGCATGGGGGTGATTCTTTGCTAATTCACATTAATAAAGACACTGATATTCTGGCCATCACCATGCAAGCGTGGCAGCACGATATCATTAAAAATAAATATTAGAATATTTACAATAAACTTTCCTAGTCCTACACAGTCTGCATGCTGAATCTCCATTATTCATTTCTCTGTTTTATGGTCACTGTGCGTCACGGTCAGTCCACCCCCCTGCTAATTCTAGGTAATAATTGACACTTTGTTGTCCCATTGTCTCTCCCAAGGTTATTCAGCTATAAATTATTACTAAATAGAGCCTTTATTACTAATAATCAGTACTGGTGTGTCAAGAGGATGGCTGAAGGGCAAGATTCACCTGAACAGCAGGAAGCGTGTGTGTTTTACGCAACAGTTACGTCTTACATAACAACCGAAAAGTGTTTTTTGTCAGTGGAGTGTTTGTGCGCTGACTGTTTACAGCCTTTTAAATAATGACAAATACAGTTTCCCAAGATAACCAGATATGAGTACTCCTCCCCCCCACATACCCACAGTCCTACAGGCCTGTACCCTCATACAACAATGGCTTTGTCTCCGGCAGACAATGCGCAGTGTTGTGCAGGAAATCTAACCGCACAATGCCCCCTCATCTACCCTCCTTTTAATTACCCAGCATGCATCACTCCCCTCTGCTAAATGCCCCCTTTTGTTTTGGTCCACCCCACCACCTTTGTTGACATCCACACTCTGCGAACAGTTAAACTGTCTGTTACCTCTACTATTTCAAACAGTTTGGATCCCGTCTCTTCACACTGACTTTGTGTTTTGTTGCAGAGATTCCTGCGGTGAGGATGAGGAGCACAGACTGGTGGCCTGAGTTCAACCCTGCGCAGGTGCAGGTGGACTCCTGGCCTACAGCACTCCTCATTCACTGGTCCATTTCATTTCTCACTCATATAGGCATATTTGACTGATTTGTGATCTTTATAAATTTTCACAATAGACCCTTTTCACTGCAGCCATTTTGAGATGAAATAGTAGGGTAAACACAGGTGTTACCAGTGATACCAGTTTAGGTTGCGCTCCATTTATTGTGGCAGAGTCTTTCTGGTGAGCCAACATGCACAATAGCAGCACCCTGGCTTTGTTTGACCAAAATTGATAACGCCTGTGTTTACCCTACTGTTTCATGTCAAAATGGCTGCTGTGAAAAAGGTCTGCTACACTCTAAGCTGCTATTGTAGTATTTATGGTTTTACATTATTTATCTAGCAATATAATGTGTAGTATTTTAATTTAACCTGGTAAATTGAGATTCTAGTGATAGATTTTTAATTAACGGATCATTCCATCAGTGCTAATAAAGCAATAATAATAATAAATAATAAATGCAGTGATTCACTCACATACAGTATCAACACACACACACACAAATGACTAACATGGCATGTCTGCTTTGAATAGTGCCAGTTTTGTGGTTTGTGGCAATTAAACATCAACAATATGATCCATTGTTTTGCTGTTGACTTTTTGTTTTTCACTTTGTACAAAGCTGATTTATGATGTTGAACAAAATGAGTATGTTTACAGTCAGTGGCGTATTTATTATTAACAAGATCCCAAGGTTATTGTAATTTATGACATAGCTACTATAAGCTGTTATTAGGGTACATTGACCTCCATGATGACTGAGTAAAAAATTAGCTCAACTCAGGGCTGCAAAAGAAGGAACACTAGTGACAGGCTTGTGTACAAAGTAAGGTATGATTATTTCATTAAAAGTAGTGCATTGAATGAAAGTGTGTGTGTGTGTGTGTGTGTGTGTGTGTGTGTGTGTGGGGGGTGGGCGGGTGGGGGTTTCTGATGTTATCAAGGGTCTGTGTGTTTGAGGCGGTCAGATGGAGCTGGTGGTCACAGTGAGCAGCTTCTCGGTAAACTGATCCTGGAGCAGCCTGACTTGTGAGCAGTGTACAATGAGAGTCAGTCAGTCAGTGAGTGCGGCTGCAGCGACATCTGAACCGCTTTCAGATCAGATCAGTGGCGGATTATTGAAGTCAGATTTTTAATACAGTCCACTGGATGTGTATTTGAGCTGATCCTATAGGTAAGTCTTCATACTCTTTCTTTCTTTTTTTTTCAGAATGAAAACAAGTGATAATGTGATCACGTGATATTCGGTGTAGCCCTGTTTAGACAGGAGATGTAAAAACAAAGCAGCACTGCGGTGAGTTATTTATTATGCACGAAATTCACTTATCATGACTACGCAGACATTATAAAGTAAGAATTCAGAAGAATTCATTTTAAAGCTCAACACGGACATCCAGGACGGAAGAAGAGTTCTGACTGCAGATAATATCAAATACTAAAACCACCATTCAACCAGAAAGACTTACCAAGGTGATTAAACAAACACTAGGAAAGTCATTGTAGACAGCAAGAGCCTTAAATAGAAAATAATAGCTACATTTATAGCCTTTTCATAGACCTAATAGCTTTTGCTTTTTAATGACTTGACAAAATAAGAGCATTTTTGATAAGGAGCATGAATATTATAAATCCAATAGCCATATTCACATTCAATCAAAAGAAAAAGGTATTTTGATGTTAATAGTCTAGTCAAAGTCTAGCACTTACATGAGGTAGGACTAAGGAGAAAAAGAAAACATAAATCTAGATTAAATAGGAAAAAACATATTTTTCTTACTGTTTCATGTGACTTTTACCTCTTCTTTTTCATATTTTGCACATTACAGCATTATAGCAATTGAACAGCTGCTTTGTAGGAAATATTTAATGTTGTCTCATAGCTAGTAATTTGTGAACTGTCACTTGTGTTATCTTTTGGCATTGCTATTTATGAGCTTGAATAAGACATTGCATTTATGTTCTCCTGGACGTTTTTATAGATGACTTGCTGTGTGACATTTATAGTTTGTTAGATAAGCATATCATAAGACATATGTTTATACCAGGACATTTTGACAGTAAATAGTTAAGGAGCCCCCTCCAGGACATGCTTTAATATGCAAATAGTCTGCTTGGAACAATAATGTGTGTCTGGTATACAATCTGATAATTTCCACATTAAAATCTTTTAAAAGTAATCGCCTCCTTCTACCCCAAATTCCAGAATCTCTGAATATTCAAATGTTGTTCATTTCTTAAGTTTTGCTGCTGGACACAAGATGTCTCCTCCTTCACTGTAAAGTCCATTCTCAGTGGATGTGCACTGGTGGCTTCAAGTTTCTACATCACACTGTACAAGTTGTATACTGGACCAGGACTGACTTCCTAACTATTTATGATGTCACAAATCATGCTGGTAGGCCCCGCCCCTTACAATCTGATGTTCAATGAGCACAGAGAAACTTTCCACTTTCAGCAGATGAATGTGAAAACATCCTTCTAGAGTCAAACTCTGCACAGACAGCATTCAGACAGCACACTGTAGGGACAAAGAGAAAAACTGGCTTTAAATATGAGCAGAGCATGACTGCATGACGCTGGCTTGTCACTGTTGTTACTGCATATTCCTAACAGACAGGCCTGCTGCCTTCTGTGTGTGTCTCCAGTTCCAGAAGAAGCTCCTTGCTGTCCTCAAGCAGTCTGAATGGAGAGGCAGGCGCTGCAGCGGGCCAAGGAGGCCTTCCTGAGCGGCAGGACCCGGCCTGTGGAGTTCAGACTGCAGCAGCTCCATGCCCTGCAGAGGATGATCACTGAGAAAGAGACTGAGATCTCCACTGCTCTCAAACAGGACATCAACAGGGTGAGTGGAAACAGACACAGCACACTGCTGCATGTATCATATACTGTATGTCTGTGTATGTTGAGTATGTTGTGTTTCCCACAGAGCCAGTACGACACACCGCTCCTGGAGCTGATTGGCATTGAGAATGAGATCAAGCTGGCTATAGAGAAGCTGGCAGAGTGGGCGGCTCCACGGCCAGTGGAGAAGAACCTCCTCACCATATCAGATGAGGTTTATATCCAGCCAGAGCCCCTGGGAGTGGTGCTCATCATAGGGGCCTGGAACTACCCCTGGGCCGTCACCCTCCAGCCCCTGGTTGGAGCTATCGCTGCCGGTAGGGAACCTTTCTGTCTCCAGTCCCTCAGCACCTCCTTAGAACCCCTCCATTGCCTGTTTTCAGTCATTGCTGATTAGACCTCTGCTCAGGTTGGAGATGGGTGGAGCAGCTATACTGGGGATTAAGTGAAGTCACCAAAGTCCAGGCCCAAATAAAATGATAAAGGTGTAATTGTCACATGTTAACCCGTGCAATATAAAAAGGGACTGTACAGAAATGATTAGAGGGAGGTCAGGGAGGGACAGGGTTTTTTTGCTTGCTTCATAACTTTCTTCTGCATTATAACAAAAAGTGAAACAATTCAGTCTAGTTTACAATTCATGTTCAGCCTTTTGTTGGTTTTGTGTAAATTAGAAACATTTCACTTCTGTTTACACAAATTAAGCCCTCTTGAAATATTCATGCATAATTTTTATGCCTGATGCCTTTTTTGTTATAATAGTGGAAACCCAGCACTAGATTTTGTTATTTTGGGGGAGGGAAGTCAAAGGTAGGATCCAAATAAAATACACTTTCAAAAACCCCAGTCACTTTCCTATAGTGCCTAACAGGAGAGTGACAGATAAATCATCCAATCACAGTCTGCAAACACCCACACAGCCCTGAAAAGAGGTCTCAGACAGGAACAGCTAATCCAAAAAAAACAACTGTAAATTAAATTCCAAATTCTCAGACTCCCTCCAACAATGCTCAAACATGTATGCAAAGAAAGTAAAAACTAACATATAAGACATAAGATAGAGCAAAAGTTAAAATATAGAAATATAGTATAATATATGTCAAATAAAATCTTTCTTCTTCCTTTCTAAAAATATTGTTGTTTTTTGCAGTTTAGCCAGGGCAGTATTTCATTTACCTTCACCTAAACTTCACGTACATTGTTTAATATGTTATTTTATTCTCAAAGACACATTTTTATTCTTTACACTAAACTGTAGAAATAAACTGTGCAACAATTAGCCCAATCACACTGAAAATGAGTGAGTGAATAACCCTAACCCTCCACTCACTCAGTCAATGGTCGATTTGATTGACAGAAACCACCCAGCATGCACCTATGAACTCGCAGCCTCCCACCACTTTGTTATCCTGATCAGCTGCTTCAGATCTATGATGTGGGAAACTAGCAGAGCTCATCTTTTCAAAATATGGGGGTTATGTTCAGACACATATTGATATTACTTGTATTTTAATTCATTTTCTCATATCAGTATTTTGTGTTTTATGTCAACACATTTGAAGCAGTAAAACTTAAAATTTTGCCTAATATTGTTGATTTAGAGTTTTGATCCTTGAACTTAAGACAGCTTTTAGCTCTTTTCACTCTTTTCTGGGTAAATAATGTAATACCCAAAGATATGTCCCTCTAATAAAGATATTAGTTAATGGCTTTAAATATGCATGTTGGTCAACTTGTATTTTGCAGCCCAAGTCTGATAAAAACTGAGAGAGAAATATCCCAGAGTGAACTTGACAGCATCCCCCGCCCTGCATTCTCATCCTCCTACTTGTCTGCTCTCCGTCACTCAGTGATCTCACTCCATTCACAGAAACCTGTGTTCTCTCTCCGCAGGCAACGCAGCTGTGGTGAAGCCGTCCGAGCTCAGCGAGTACTCATCCCTCCTCCTCCGGGCTCTGCTGCCTCGCTATCTGGACAAGGTCTGAACACCAGCTGCTATTGTTGATGGCTGCAGTAATGTCAAAGCCTCGTGCCAGCACAGTACAATACATCACAGATATGTTATATGTGGGGACTCCCTCCATCAGCAGTGACTCATTCTTCCCAAGTTCTAACGTCATCTTGAATGAGTCAGGAACTTGTCAGACAGCTTGATATTTTTGATAAGTGCGTAGCTGACATTATTAAATCATTTTCTGTTTATTTCCAGGAGCTGTACCCAGTAGTGACAGGTGGAGTGTCAGAGACCCAGGAGCTTCTGAAGCTCAGATTTGATCATGTCTTCTACACGGGTGGCAGCACAGTGGGCAAACTGGTGATGGAAGCTGCAGCTCGCCATCTCACCCCAGTGACCCTGGAGCTGGGCGGGAAGAGCCCCTGCTACATCGACAAAGACTGTGACGTCAGAATCGCCTGCCGGTAACATGTCACTCATCAGAGTAGCCCATATCACCAGCAGTCACACACAGCTGAGTAAACTGTCACATGCCATCAGTGGTGTAGTGGTGCCAGGAGAAGTGGGTATACTTAATTTATGCTCTAGTGTTTTTTCTAAAGCGGTCATCCAGCAAAGGATAAACATCCTGTGTTATAAACAGTGACATTTGAGACTACTCTTGCATATTTAGCTCAAGCAAAATAGGCCAGTAATTGCTTATTAGCTGTGTACTTGATGGCTTTGGTGGCCTGTGTAGGTTGAGCACTTTAGCCAGAGAGGGGACACAGAGGCAATTTTGGTATCAATAGTTCTAAGCACCTAAAGGACCATGCTGATGTGTTTTTTTTGCATATTTCAGTCAAATACTATACTTGACTTTACATCACTCAATTAATTTCCTACCTTATTGGCTGTCTCCATTTCTTTCAGTATCGCATATCAAATAGTGATGTCGAACGTACAGTGCTTACTGCTCATGAAAGACATGAATCCCTGACTTTTCCCACTCATAAGCCACATGTCCACCGCATGGTACGGCTCACCTCTACTCTCCTACCTAGTACTTAGAACCTGGAACTTTTTTTGATACCACTACCATCAGCTAATACTAAAAGGTGACGTTAAACATTGCAGACCACTGACTGGCTGATTGGCAACCCGCAAAACCACACCGTAGTCATCTGACGAAGTGCAGACGTATCAAGAACACCTTCCTTCCGAGCCCTCGATATCCTCCTTTATAAGAGTGGCAGCTCCTTTTTATGTGTGTAATTACTATGTGGATAAGTGAAAGAGAGAGAGCGGTGCAGAGGTAAACAGATCAGTGAAGTTAAGCTGTGTTGATCTGACAGTCAGCCCTGCCTATGTCGATGGGGTACTATTCAATGTATCTGCAATGGAATAGATACCCAAAGCGAGTAGAGTAGAGACAAGTCAAGCTTTACCATGTAGTGGGAACACTGCTGTTATCATAGGGTACTGCTAACGCTGCCTGCTACGGTTGTGCAGTCGCTCAAAGGCATAGAAAGTGGGACAATCACTGAATGAGTGGGAAACACTGTCTTGAATGAGGATGTCAGTGTGTACCTTGAGTTGAGTCCAGCACTCAGTCCAGAGCCTGGCAGCTCCACTCACCCACACTGAATGAGACCGAATGAACCGCTCACTGGAACTGGCAGTGGGACGTCTGCTACTCGACCAGGAAGAGTCATAAATTGATGCAGTCAAATTACATTTGTGTAACATGGTGTGTTGCACAACTTACCTACATACAAGTGGGATGCTCAATCAATGCATTAAATACAATGAATATTTTATCTTTATTAATGTAAACTTGTACATGATGATTGGGAGCAGGGAGTGCTAGCTGTCGTAGAACAACTGACACCACATTTTGAAAAAGTATTAAAACTCAAAAAGTTTGATTCATTGACATGTATCAACTTGGAGGAACAAATTGGTCATCACTAGTGACAGAGACATGAAACCTGCTTAATAATTTGTCACAGTGAATAATAGTTGCATCAACTCCTACATCTAAAATTAGAAGAAATACCTTGATTAAAAAAACTAAACATGTTATATCACACAATCCTCTTCATCAAATTCATCTTTTTTATTGTATTTGCAATGATTTTTGGGGACCAAATAACAAGATGTCAGAGTCTCTTGGAATGCAACACCAAGAACAGCCCTACTGTATCTCAAGACATTTCAAGCCTCTCCAGGTTATTTATATCACACGGAAACAAATGGCTGCAAGGTAGAAAATAAACTGTAAAACGTTCATAGTGGTCTGGAAAAGGGTTGAAAACAATGTAAATGTAAGCACATTGGTGGTTTAAGAAGCTAAGAAGCGTGTTGTTCCCTCTTCCCCCCCCCTTCCTGTCACTCTTCAGCTGTCACTATTGATTGAAGGTAATAAAAGCTAGAAATTGGTATACTCTTTTGGTAGAGCTACACATACATACATGTACCTGAATGTGACTTCCTCAAAAGCTTTAAAACACTGAAATACCTGATCTGTGTGCAGTCGTATCACGTGGGGAAAGTTCGTCAACTGCGGCCAGACGTGCATCGCCCCAGACTACATCCTGTGCGAGCCCTGCATCCAGGGCCGAGTGGTGGAATGCATCCGACAAACTCTACTGGTACCGTCATTTAAACCCTAACCCTAGCTAACATCCTAATGTAAATGAGACAGCACAGTCTGGAGGTTCATCACAACCTTTTGATCCGTCCCAGGAATTTTATGGCGCCGATCCCAAATGCTCACCAGACTACAGCCGAATCATCAACCAGCGTCATTTCAACAGAGTCATGGGTCTGATGGAGGGGTACACTCCTGTGGTGGGTGGACAGAGTGACGCCTCGCAGCGCTATATTGGTAGGAATATAGAGTGGTAGAGAACAGAGGTGTGGACTGGAGTCAAAAATTTGATGACTTTAGACTCAACTTGACAAAATTGAAAAATACTTGCAACTTGAAAAGGACTTCACCAATGACTTGTGACTTCACTTGGACTTGAAAATACTTGATGAAGAATATTGAGAACTAATGTTATGTTACTCGGCTGAGATACCAAAGATCATTTTGTTTACATATGAAAACTAAACAGTGGTCATACATTTGGTGAAGAGCATATTATGACTTGTTGAGGACTCGAAACTCTTGACTTGGGACTTGTTAGTCTTGACTTGGGTGCAAAGACTTGAGACTTTGAGCTGACTCGGTCCCATCTCTGCGGAAACGTCGGAGCATTGTGTTGATTGTGCTGTTGTTTAATGAACGTTGATGTTGTACATGCAGCCCCAACAGTGCTGAAGGACGTGCCCCCTCACTCCAGGATGATGCAGGAGGAGATCTTCGGCCCCCTGCTGCCCATCGTGACCGTTAGTGACATGGACGATGCCATCCGCTTCATCAACGAGAGAGAGAAACCTCTGGCCCTCTACATCTTCTGCTCTGATAAAAAGGTGAAGGGAAACAACAGGAGATTTAAACCATGTTTTAATGCTTTAAAGAAACTCTTCTTTATATTCCTTCTCCCCCTTCTGTCTCTTTCAGGCAGTAAAAAGGATGATTGAGGAGACCTCGAGTGGAGGAGTGACGGTCAATGACGTTATGATGCACTACACACTCAGTTCGCTCCCGTTTGGTGGTGTTGGTAAGAACCATCACAGAGCTTTTAATACATTATTGTGTGTATGTTGACTTAGGTGGACTTCATCATGGGGGCATGGTCGGATTAACCTGTTAAAGGGCCCTCACGGTAAACTTTGTTGGGCCCCTGTTTCCCCTCTAGTACTTTTATCCTGATTAGGCCAAAGAGGTACACTCTGAACAAGGTGACATTAAAGGTCCATCCACCACTTTTTACACATCTTCACCCACACACACACACACACACACACACACACACACACACACACACACACACACACACACACACACACACACACACAATTTCACAATAGGACCTAGCAGAGATAAAGTCAGTTCTCAGGAAATTAATCAACAGCCCTTTAATATTTAAGTCATTTCTCAATTAAAAATGCAGACATTTGGTGGTTCCAGCTTAAAAATAGAATTGACTGATAATAGCAATTACTTGCAGCCCCATTGAATAAAAAAAATATACTAACATACTAATAAATGTGCAAAAGGGTGATAAATGATGACACTGTCAGACCCGTTTCCACTTTGTCTCCATCACTTGGTAATGCTGATACAGCCAACTGGCTGCAAAAAGCCCCAAAAATGGAAACAATATTGGTTGTGAACGAGACTGATGATATAACTTGATATAAACATTGAATAGATCCAGTGTGATTTCACCCTGTGGTTTGTGGAGAACCGTTTTGAAGCCTCAAGTTTGGCATTAAAGTCAAATCACCAGGCCAACAGTGCAGTTAGCTTTGATAAGGACTGTAGTACAGAGGACCAGATGAAACTTCTGCTGTCAAGTTGGGTCACAAATCCACAGTTGAGTCCTGAGCAGTTCTTTTAGATCTTTCTTCTCCCTTTGCAGTCTTCTGGTATGAAGCAACATACACTGCTTGGGCTGGTAGTGTGTGTGTGAAGTGCACTGACACCCACCTCATCTTCACACAGTAACCTCATATAGTAGAACTTTAAAATGCAGTTTTTAATTTCAATAGAGATGACTGTAGACTTGTTTGTGACCCCTCCAGGTCAGAGTGGTATGGGCCGCTACCACGGGAAACACACTTTTGACCAGCTGAGCCACCAGAGGGCGTGTCTGGTCCGCTCTCTGGGCATGGAGCGTGTCAACCTTGCCCGATACCCTCCACAGGACCGCCGCCGGGCTCGCAGGGCACGTATGGCTCTCAAGTCACCCCTCATCGACACGTCCAAGAGGACGTTCATCTGGGCCGTCGCTGCCACTGTCATTGGCTTCGGGCTGTTTGTCACCCTGCTGGTCATCCTGCTCATAGCTTCAGGCCTCAACTGCACCTGCTGGTACTGGAGAGGCTTTTATAATTAGAGACACTGCAGCTTCCCTTTGTACATCCTATCTAAAGAAGTGTCTGCTGTTAAGAACACACCTGAGCACACTTTGACTGTTTTATATTCAGATATTTTACAGAAAATATGATAACCATTTGATCTAACTTGTATTTGCTGTGTGTCTATTTTGTATCAGATGCCCCTCAGCGACGAGACAAACAAGGTTAAACACTGACCAAACACACACCGGATTGCTGTCCTGCATATTATTGAAGGTTAACATTCACTATCTGAGGAAATATCAGTGTAAATACAAATCTGATGATGAACTGAAAACCCAGTGTTCAACAGATACAACATGTGTGTATTTTGCTAGAGTTGTTCCAGAATAAAAGATTTGATATATTATCATCTTCCATTTTTATGTTTCGCCATTTATAATAATAATAATAATAATAATAATAATAATACTGTAAGAAGAAATATACAAAAAAATTCTTTCTTATTTTTGCTCTTCTCTTTGGTCAGAGAACATTTAACGAGTGGTCGAGAGCACTCTTACCAAGATAAGAACAAAACACAGTCTGCAGATTGTTTGTCCAACACAAAGAAACATATGTTTTAAATGCTGAAGTTAAGATATTTTTACCTATGCTACATATGCTAATAACATTAGCCACACACCTCCATGGTTAAGAACCTTTTGTGCATCTGGAGCTGACTTGCTGCATGAGGCCCAATTTTATAAGCTCATCAGATATTTTTATGTCAACATTTCTATGGTACACTGGTGCAAACGTTTAGCTGTGCAGGAGTGTACCTGTAGTAACATTACATTACATCTATGTAGCTGATTACTGTTGAGGTCTGTGTGGCCCTCAGAATGGGTTTCAGTCAGACATACAAACATCAGATAGATATCTGTTTCTGATATTATGGAAGGCCCCTTGGACTTAATGGAGGAAACAGCCTGTAAACAAATGTAAATGTACCAGTGTTGTAAACAGATTCTTTCTTAAAAAAGAACTAAAACGTGAAAAGAAAAAGATTGATTAGACTTAGACTTTAAGGATTTTCATTTCAAAGTCACAGTGGTGTTGCATTAGATCTTTAGTCTACAGCTATAGTTAATAAGAGTTATAGAAGGTAAACTGATGATCTAGGAGGAGAAATTACAACAACGTCCAGGTAGTAATAAAGACTCTGACATTGTGAAACCTTTAACCTCCTGATGCTAAATGGTACGATATGATACACTCACATACATAGTGCAAATGGTTCCCTACAGTTATATTATCACACTGTGTGGCCACCAGGTGGCAGCAGAGAGCTAGAGAACAGTGTTTAGGGACCGACTGAGGCAAGGAAGGAAGCCAACACAAGACATGTTTATTGGCTTTTCTATTAAGTTACAAAGAGAAATTTCAAAGAACATTCTCATCAACACTAAATTACACTGAAATTAAGAGAAGACTGTGTACAACTTGTTCTGTTACTGTAACAGATCTATATCTGTGATAGTAAAAAGTCAAATTATCAACCACTGACTCACTATACAAACTATAGCATCTGAAATAACAGTTATACCATATCATGACATGGATCTAGTTAGTCTCATTGTATTTTGTGTAAAGTGCCCTGTTGAGTCATTATATGAGCGCCCTATTAGCAACAGGCTCTCCCTGTTCCTCTGAGATGCTCTGCTAAGCTCTGAATTGACAGCTTTATTGCTTAATAGGTCTGTGGATATCCAGGCATTCAGCTTGTAAAGCAGCAACAGGAAACAGCTGCCATCTCAGCACCCTGCTTCAACTCTAACGGACTCACTGTAGTTGCACTGAGTTCCCGGAGGCCTAAATAACTGTTGCATAACCGTATCAGTATCAGAATGTTGACTCAGCCTGGACTTTCAGTCTGTCAGAGACATCAGTCCAGGACTTCTGCAGGAAAACAATGGACTGCTCAGTCAGTAAAGAGTTAAACTGTCTGGTAGCACAAAGTGACATCACTATGGGTTGATAGGTTTGATAATCACCAGCAAATAAGCTAGTGCCACATTTCAACTCCAAGACCTAAAAATGCTTATTCCTAAGCAAAAAAATGTCTCTCAAAGCATTTATTTCATTCCAGTAATTTGCATGGACACATTATTACCTCAGCGTCAGACATTTCTGACTGGATCTGCTCTAATCAACTAGCTGTGTGAACGGCACTTTATTTGTGTCAATTACAGGCCTCTGTAGCTCAAGGCAGATTGGCACTGGCAGTGCTGCTGCACTCCTACAGGCTGCTGAACATCAGGGAAATGTCATACTGTAGGTCAGTGAACATCCCTTTAATGTACACTCTTGGGTCGGAGCAACCTGTGCTTTCAGGACAGCCTCAGCAGGTCATGATGTAAGGAATGTACAGGAGAAACTATGGTGGCACGAAACTCACAAAAAATGCGAAAGGCCCCATCTACAGCCAGTTTTTGTTTGTCTGTTCTGGGCTACTATAGAAACATGGCGGCTCAACATTTCTGTTACTGGTGTCAAAACTGAGGTCTGTGGCCGCAGTTGACAGGAAGCGCAGTTGTCACCGTTTTACTGCTGTGTGTCATCTTCCTGTTGTCCAGATTAAGGTTGCTGTTATTTGAATACTTGTGTCTTTCCTGTTAGCTCATGTATGTGCCTGGCCATTCATCCTAATGGTTAGTCAGCAGAAACCGTGCCAACTGACTCTATGTGCTTCATGTATTTTGCTGTTGTTTGTATTAATAAGAGGTTGTGGTTGTTAAACGGGCCACTGAGTGTGAAAGAGTTTCAGGATGCTATAGGAGGTGCACAGGTATATAATCTGGCTTCATAATACAGATACAGTTTCACTTCCCGCCAAAACTAAAAAGCTAATTGCTAAAAAAGCTAATTGACGCTCTTTTGTGTTTGGTCTTTAGTGCTGAAATCAGATACTGAGTGTTTGAGGAGCGGGGCAGCTGATCTAAAAATGGACTGCTGCCATTAAAGTACAGTAAAACTCACTTTTATTAAAGTTCAGTTACGGGCCAATAAAAAAAAAAGCTTTAGATCTGCTATTTGGACACTTGGCCATTTATTATGTAGCCCTAGTGGTCCAGTTTAATTTTCAATTGATAGATGAACTTGGTTGATGGAGGACTTTTAGTTTGACATCTACAATAGCAGGTCTGACAGGTCTCCAGCTTTCTGACCTCCTGTTGTGACACGTTCCGTTTGCAGATGACTCATGCGCTGCAGGAGATATACTTCTGAAGACTGTACTGTAGTTTCAGGGCTTTGTTTCTGCTGGACTGTAAAGTTTACTTTTGCATATATTTGTCCTCATTTGCCCTCTATGCATAAAAACACAGCCTGCCAAAGACCCTTCAGCCCAGCAGCTGCCTGACTGAACTCTGCTGGCAGAGAGCCTCACACTACTTCTCAGTCACACTGCTGCTCTGGAAGGAAGGATATACGCCACTTACACACATATCTCATTCAAAGCATTTGGCTTTAAGGTACTACATGTGAGGTACAGTATTTATCATGTCTCCTGTCTCGTCTCCCTCCTGTTTTAGTGCTCACAGCTCATGAATAATACATCATTTTGATTAGGAAGTGTGAAGGTGAACATATGTTTGCATACATTAATGGATTTGGAAGTCAGAAGTTGATTAGAGGGAGATTTATTTTCCTTTTGTGCTTTGACTTTTTGGTCAAAGCAATGCACAATCACTCCTGAGCTCCATTATTGACTCTGAACATTCTTTAAATGTGTTTATTATACCAACAAATATGGTTGAAAGTGGAGAGGGGCCGATTTAGTTTGGCCACTGTCTGGAATGGCTTTTGCTGTCTACTTTCTTGTTCCCGTGGTGACCCTGATGCTCTCTGTTCATCAATAGGCTCAATGGCTCGTTCAGGGACAGGCATGGCAAACCCCCGGGGCAGCGGTGTTAAATGTAGGCTACACACTGTAAGGCAGCTGTTAGACAGATGTAATGTCAGAGTAAAGCTTGGTTCCCCCCATCCCGATGAAAAATTTAAAAAAAGCAGGTTTAGCATTTTAGCAGGTTAATATCCAGGTAGAAAGCAACGCAGAGCTGGGCAGACACACAATGATGGGCAGATTGATATATGAACATGTAGCACATGCTTTAAAGCTACAGGTAAGAAAAAAAGCCACAAAAACACAATAATAATTAGTGTGATCAGTAATGTTAAATGCTCATATGAAATAAATATGAGTAAATCATATAATTAATAATTAGTAAAACTGTCAAATGCTACATTTTATTTTATTAATTGATTATTATTTTGTCTTTCTTCTTTTCATAGTTGGAGTATATTATTATAAACAACAATTTCTATTTCAAAATCACTTTGTCATATGATTGGCTGAAAAGTGAGTGGGCAGGGATTGGTGACAACAAGTCTGTGATGCCATCAGATATAAAAGGGCATTTGAAATTTGTTTTGTAATGTCTCATTTATTCATAATATATTGATCATTTTGGAGTTCCATATGGACAGCACTCATTGCTTATGCTCTAACGACAAAGAAACTTTGGGTATAAAAGATACGATGTATGAAAATGTTCTAAAAAAGTATTGATTCTTTTCCACCTTTACATAATACATTTCACCCTCCAGTAAATCGCAGCATCCTGCAATCCATGAGTGACATGCATTTTTCATTACTTAGGTACTGTTGCTATGGTAACCACTCACACCCCCCGACCTTGAGATGTGGTGTTATTTCAGGCGTCCTACGCAAACGTGCCATTTGCAAAGATAAATGAAGGAAACAAGAGAGCAACCTGCCTTCCGCTCTGTACAGTGTGAACGGAGACACAGCAGCAGGATGGAGGACGTCCAAGGTCCACACTGACATCAGTGGACATCATTATAATGAGGCTTAATGTCTGTTAGCCAACTTACATTCACTTGTTATTGTATCATTCTTTCCAAATCTTTCACCTGTCCAAACCCCACATTTCTGTCTTTTTCTAATGAGTCACAGAAAGTCAAATAAAGTAATATTATTGAAATACATTATAACTTTATTTATTGGCCTTATTGTTTACTGGAGTAAAGCTGAATTTCCTGAAGGAAATAGCTAAGAGTTTTACCAAATAAATAAGGGTTTGCATGAATGAATGTCCACTAAACAGCTGGACATATTAATTACACTCAGTTTGCCCTCTAGATTCTTCCAAAGCACCTTTTGAAACAAATCTAACACTGTCTGCAATGTGTGGAGCACCTGTGGACTAACACTGGTGGATTGAGTCTCCTACAGTGCACAGACTCACCAATTAGTGTGGGATGTGCAGCTGTGAGATCCACACGTGTGGAAAGGGATCCAGCTAATCAGGTAGAGGGAGGAGTCACTTCCTTTGTCTGCCTCAGTGGTCATGCTGCACAGAAACTGTCTGTTTGCAACAATGAGGTCCAAGCAGCTCTTTGTTATCAGCTTTATGCTTGCATGCGTCAGGCTTAGTAATGCTGGACTTAGTAGGAGAGTGACAACCTACTTGGGGCAGAAGCCTTCAGAGGTGGAAGCCGAGCCAGTGGCGGGACCTGAAAGAGAGTACTTCAGAGGGTATGCTCAACAAGCTGGCAGGCTCCAGGCAGAGCAGCGCCAGCCAGTGGGCGGACCAATCCTCTGGAAGTATCCAGAAGATCCGGTGGACCTGGTGAAAAAGCCCCCTGTTGGGTTCAAGCTGCGGCAGCCGGTGATGACCAACCCAGTTGCTGTGAGGTGTGGGGAGAGTAGGATCCAGGTGGAAGTGAGCCAGGACCTGCTGGGGCTCGGCAAGCTGATAAAGCCGGAGGAAGTCACACTTGGTGGTTGTCCAGCCACTGAGATAGACAACTTGTCTCATGTGCTCATCTTCGAATGTGAGCTGCACCACTGTGGCAGCACACTTGTGGTATGGGGTTTTTATTTATAGAATGCATTGATGTTACTTTCAGTCAATCAGATTTTTAAACTGTAATTCTCTTCTCCTCAGATGACAGAGAAAGCCTTCATTTATACCTTCGCACTGGTCTACGACCCCAAAGTGTCCAGCAGGAGCCACATCATAAGGAGCCAGGGTGCTGTCATTGGAGTGCAGTGCCACTACCCAAAGTGAATGAAAGAATAATAAAGGGTTTAAAGTCTCAACACACTGGTTCTACCTTAACCTTCCAGAATCCTAAGTAGTTCACACTGTCGTGGAGAAAAACAAATCTGTCACATACGAGCAAAAAACGTATGCCTGACTGAAGACTCCACCTCCCTGAATCCCATATACCCAAAAGTATAAACATTTTTTACATTCTTTTATTTACTGTTGTGACAGAAACAATGGGAAGGTTTGCTTTGTGTAGATAACAACTGAAAATGATTCTTTCCAAGCAGTCATTAATGGTCCAGATGCATTTACTAGATAAAACACTGCTGGTGTTAAGGTTACTGACCCCGTTTTCAATGAAAACGATCTCTACCAGCATCTGAAACTTGGAGGAAGACCCCTGCAGCACACCTGACCAAACACAAGCTGTGTCCCAAATCCATACTACAATTCTACGCAGGTAGTATGTTAAAACTGCACAAGTGATAAAATGAAGTCTGGTTAAACCAGCTGCTAAATACAGCTATAGTTAGTGTGGTCTTGGAGGACAGTATTTTACCACAATGCAATGCAATGCACTTAAAGCAACCGGAGGAGCTGTTCACAGCTGGAAATAAATAAATTGTAGGTGGCGGTGAAATGGCTCCGATAGATCTTGGAAGACAAAACAAAGTATTAAATCACTGGAAAAACATTTTGCTGTATTTGTGAAGTCTTTCACAACGTGGCGGTCACTACAGTGGACAGCTATTCAAAAACAGTTTTCTGTATATGCATGGGTTTGATGGTATAGTTGACAAATTCAGTGTTTCCTTCTCATTTTTCCATTAGCTCTCGGGTTGTTTTAACTACGTACTTGCTGAGATATGAGGGGTATTGCACAAAAGTAGAATAAAGAAATCCAGGATAATTGAGGGAGCGCGGCTTGACCTAGCCTGCTCGGCGCATTCTGGCTTTATTGGTTGCACGTTTGCCGAGCCAGGATGAAAAGGCGCGGCCATGTTAAGCCAAGTGTAGATAGTCGGGATAAGTTTGTGTTCACGGCATACTGAAATAGACCTCGCAATCGCTCACAGAATCACGGATGGGAACATGGATAAGAGCCGCGCTTCATATTTCACGGCCGCTGAACAACAGCTCCTGATGGAGTTCTATGAAGAGGTGAAAGATATGAAAAAAAGGCAAAACCAATACCATAATTAAAGAAAGAGAGAAAGCCTGGCAGACAATAGCGGACCGGCTTAATGCTTAAGTAGTCCAAAACTGTACAATGAATAAACAGTGCTCCACTGGAACTGTCATCATTAGGCTACAATTAAAGGACTAAAGGAGTTACTTTAAGTCCACTAATCAACTGTTGTACACTTTGCTTTAAATGTGGCAAGTAGAGGTGGATGTTACTTAAATGTAGAGTATGATTAAGTGCAAACAATTCATAAAGAACAAACTTGTCTGGCCATAAAAAGACCTGGCAGCAAGTTACATTAAAAATGTTAAAAAAAGTTAAATACAAGAACATTTTGCAGGCTGGGAAGTGACTGTAAAGTAGATAACAGTGAACAAATGAGGTGAATAGATTAGGTGTCTGCTGATATGTTGAATGTCTGTATGATTTTAGCGGTTAAAAAAAAAAAAAAAGCCCATAGAACTGGCACAGGTGGCGGCCCACCAAGCCAGGATATGTGCAGCAAATGGTTCCTTTATTGAGGTTCTCTGCATCCCCAACAGAATAAAGGAAGCTCCCACTTGCAAAACATCTCAATGTACCACAGACCATCTGTGGTACAGCGAGAGCATGGCTTCCTGCCGTCTGGTGCTGTGTTTTTGGACCCAGCAGCCTACATAAATATCTCAGTCCATCACCTGAGAATCTGTATCTCTCAATGAGATAGTCATCTCCAACGGCCAATGGGTCTGACCTGTCCCAGAAGACTCTTTCATGACTAAATGCTCGTCTGAGGATTAGGGCTTCCTCATCCAGTACATCCTCCAAGAAAGGGCAAGCCATGATGAAGAGGGAACAGGTGAATGGGAGTTGGATAGATAGATAGATAGATAGATAGATAGATAGATAGATAGATAGATAGATAGATAGATAGATAGATAGATAGATAGATAGATAGATAGATAGATATTCCTTTATTTGTCCCACAATGGGGAGATTCCAATGTAACAGCAGCAAAGTGGATGGAGAGAAAACAGTATAAATAAACAGTAAGAGTAGGGAAATAATAAAAAACACTATGTACTAGATGTGTATATATACATATATATATGTATATATAGCTTACTATATTGCCCTTGTCACAGATTTCATTGAAAACAGCTTTGCAACTTCATCAGCTGTGTTTTGTAATCTCAATTACTGCAATAAAACCCATATTTATGAAACCTCTGACGGCATTTTGACAAGCAGTCTTCATTAGCATAGCAACACTTGTCCTGAGTAATAATACTAGCACTTGAATTAATATAAAAAGACTGTTGCAATCACAAACAGCCAACAGATTTAAATGAAATGAGAAATGACAATATATATGTAATATTTTAATGCAGGATAATTAAAATGATGCAACATACTTAGAAAGACCATGGACATGCTGTAAAACACATTAATTCCTCACAGGATTGACGGTGGAAATACAGGTGAATCACTAGGATTAATCTTAGCCTGGCTGTTAGCCTGGTCTGGAGCAGGCTAGCTGCAGAGAATAAATCACCATAGTAACTTGACCGGGATAAGTTTGACCTGCTTTCATGCAACCGACTTGAGGCTAAATTCAGCCAGGATAACCAACATATCCCGGCTTAATCCCTTATCTTGGTTTTGTGCAATACCCCTCTGGGCCTAATGGTTTTAGTTTACCTACACCCTTTAAAAACACAAAGGCCTCACAACCCCCCTTAAAGCTTTGGCAACCCCTAGTGGGGGTCCTGACCCCCAGGTTTGGATCCACTAACATATTAAACATATATATCTATATATTTAATGATTTCACATTGCATTGAAGAATAAAATATGTATGTAAGTATTAAAAATATATTTGAACATAATATAATTTCATTAACTGGTTTTTAAGATACAGTTGAGCATGTGCAGTCCACCTGAATGAACATGTTAAATTCATTTAAAGTACACCAACTCCTAAAACGTTCAGAATTATTAATGTAGTATGGATTTGGGACACAGCCTGTTGATTACAGCATAGCTAGCTAGGTAGCTTACATTGTAGTGCAGAGTGTAGGCTCTGTCACTATTCTGTTACCCCTACATGCACAAGTATAAATCCATCTTTTACTTTATTTTATGGACTTGTTTAGTCTCAGACAGTGGTGCTAGCTGTAGCATATATAGCCACACTGACTAGAGAACAGCACATCCTCTGCTTTGATAAAACCAGTGCAGAAAGCAGTTACTGTTCTTTTCCCAGCTTGTGTCAGATTAACTATAGTATTTTGCTCACTTTTAAGGTTTAAATATCCAACAAAAGGGGAGGACATGGTTCCTCCAACTGTTCTTGGTACTATGAAAAAGTTGTTGTGGTCTGAAAATTCTTCATGTCACAGCATATTTAGTTTTTATCTCTGGTACTAACTGAATCTGTCTGTTCTTTAGAGGAGCAGTAGCAAGCTGAAGGGACCTTGGGCCCCATTGTTTATGAGCAAGATCAAACTTTTTTTAAAAGGTCCAGTGTGTAGGATTTAGCGGTGACGCTGTAGCTTGCAAATATTTGAATACAGCTCATCCTTCCAAGGGTGTAAGAGAAACTAAGGTGGCCACGAAACTCATGAAAAACACGAAAGGCCTTGTCTAGGGCGAGTGTTTGGTTTATCTGTTTTGGGCTATTGTAGAAACATGGAGGTTTAACATGAATATTATATTCCATTTAAAAGGTCCTTCTAAATGTTACAAACTGGACCTTTAAAGTGTTTTTTTTTTAAAAGAAGAATAATAATAATAATACATTTTATTTGTAAAGCACTTTTCATAAAAGAATCTCAAAGTGCTACAGAAACCAAGAGCCCCCCCGATGATGGATCAATTGTGTAAGATATGCGGTTGAGCTGCTTTTCCAAGAAGCACTTCTCATAATTGATGATGCAAATTGTGGTCCATGGTTAGAAATCTGAAAATGGCTGCCTGGCCCACACTGGGGAGAAACTGTGCAGAAGGTGAGCAACAATTACATATAAAATTCTTGAGATTGTGAATTAGTGTGTTCAACAACACAAGACACTTCCTAACGATTTAGTTTGAGCTGTTTCCAATGTCACAACAATGTTAGACTGGGTCCTGCAGGGCTCCTACAAGACTTGCATGTTCATGCATGGGTTGCAACATGGTGTCTGTGACAAGTGAAACATGTCAAAATGTGTGAAAGAGGAAATGTTTCTTATTGCAATTCACAGCTTGCATGTTGTAAATCTGGTGAAACAATCCCCTGGCTGACAGAGACAGGACAGTCTCAGACTTGCTCTTAGTAAGTTAGAAAGCAACTCAAACCTAAAGACTAATTTTAAGCCTAAAAAGTTCAGTGCCCTACCCCTAGGATATCTTGTTTTTCGAGCTGTGTTTTAATGTGAAATCACTGTGGTGCAGCACCACAGTGCCCATGGCAGCGTGCCAGTCATTACAAACCCATGCCAAACATTGTTCAAACCCACTGCTGATATTTAATTCAAATGAAGACCAAATGTTCCGTAAGATCCCAAATATGTCAGACAGAAATGGAATGGTGCACCCATGAACACAAAATCTTGGGTTTGAATATTTTGCTCACTGTAAGCATCATATAACTTCAATTGGATAAAAGTGGATACTGTGGATTTTTTGTATATAACCTTTAAAGCGTTTGCAACCAACCCCAGTATGCTGAGTTTAAACAGTTTTCTTTTTCATATCCATCTCCCACTAATGTTAGTCCAGACATGATGACTATCTACTGTAGGTGTAGACAATCCCACAGTCAGTCCTGGCTTCAGGCTGGAGTGGAAATCCCTCTCCCTGCCTGCTGAGGACAGTAAATACTAAGATCCAGCAGGAATGAAT